TTTTTACTTCTTCCAAGTTCAGGAACACTAGGCAACTGTTATATTCTGTTATTTGCTTTGAAATGGAATGAGATTTACCCAACAGAATACTATCAGCAGGACTCTACTTTGTATTCATAAACAATTAATATTTTTCCTGTTACAGCATATACTAAAAACTGTCAGCCATTACAGAGAAATCTAACGGATATCACTAAAGATTACTGTTACAGACACGGAGTAAACTGAATGTATTAACAGTAACTGGCAGACAACCAAATGTTTGAAAGTGTAACAGGAGAAACATGCAAAGAAATGACACCTCTGCTGCTATTTTCATTTAGAAACTAAATTATGAGAGTAACATTGCTAACTCAGACATACTCAGTGTTATGTCAAACTGAAGTGTTCCACTGAATAGTACAAAATCTGATCAGATCTTCCAATTCTTTTATGCGAGATGGTCAAAATTTATTGACATTTCCTCACCAATAGCAATATTCCCATGTATGGATTCTGTAAGATCATCTCTTTAGGATGTCATCTTTCAGTATTTTCCTTCAAAAACCTTCTCAGGGATTACTGAACAATTTATCTTCAAAAAGTCCAACATATATTCAAATTATCATGCAGTCTAACTGGTCATTTTTCTCAGGCAGAAGGGGGTGAATATAAGTTTATTTGGTGTCTACGTGAATATAATTTAATTTTAAAATATTGAGTCAGTCCGTCATTTGAATTGCTAGTTCAATACACCACAGTGTATTGAAGTTCATCCTAAACACAAAATAAAACTTCATACGTTTTTTCTTATCTACTGCTTGTTATGAAGCTAAATACTTAAATACTCTGCAAGAAAGCTGGTCAAAAGTGATTGCCATCATACTAGTGTAGTCAAATCTTAATAAAGGTGTCTAATTTTATGAAGAATTCGTGTCTATCTTATGAGAATAGGCACAAGAGTTTCTCCTATCTGGTGATAATTTGATTAATGACATCAATATGATCAGCCATAAAGACTTGCTGAGTCTTTCTCATTGAGAGAGAACATCACACAGCAGTTTCCTGCTTCCTGTAGTTTTGCCTGAATCCTGCTTATTTAAAGCATAGATTTTCTCCATTGTTGTTTTTCATTTAGCTGACTGACCATGATCCACCACTTAAAACAGTGAATGTGGTCTCGAGACTTGGGAGTTAAGATGCGTGGGAAATTTTCTTCTTTCTTAGTGTGCATTTCTTCTTTCTTAGTGTGTACTTGTTATCACCATAGAGACCATTTCTCTAATGAGAGATTTCACTTTCCCTGGTTTTTAAAGAAGGGCATAGCTTCTCAAAAATATGGATTTTTTTCCTCTTTTTTTTCTCAAAAAAAGAATTAAATATGGTATTCTAATTCCTTTATAGGACTTCATAGAAAAAAAAAATCACAGCTAAATCATAAGCAAAGAGAGGGTATCATCAGTGGAGCTGATGGAGCTATCAGTAGAGGCAGATGCTGGGGTTTTTTTTACTGTGAAATAAAGTTTTCATGCTGTTGTGAACAAAACTCTCATTTGTAAAGGTTATTTATATTGATGACAGAAATTATGTTTGAAACTGTGAGAAGTTAGCTTCCGCAGAGTAACCTCAAATTCTGAGGAAGTCCTTTAGCTCTATAATTAGACCTATGTGTATATCACAGCTGTTAGACACTTGAACACCTTTACTTTTTATTCACGGTTAGAAGAAAACTATTTTAGACATAGTAGAAAAGACTTATTAATATAAATGTCATTATAAATGCTGATTCAGCCTTGAAACAAATATCGGGAGCTTTACCAGGAGGGCTTGTACAAAATGCATATTTCAGTTTATGTAATAACAATGTTTAATCCGTGTTAGTTCTTCTGGTGTATTATCTTAAAGGCAAGTGAATTACATCAGTAATGTACTTGATTTTACGCTAGAGCTTTCTGAGTTCAATAAATGATTAGGCATACGAAATATCCCTAAAAACAGGAACCTAAAGGTGAAGAATTATATTATGACCGAATTCTGTTGATATCCATGTAAATTCAGAGTATTTCTTTAGAAACAATAGCTGGCCTAATATATAAAATAAATATATTTTACCCAGGTATATATTACTTGATCAGTACCAGTGTTAATGAGGATTATATTCTATCTGTAAAGATTTGAATTTTGAGTTGAATTTAATTACTTACTGGGTCAGAAGTGAGAGGAATTCAGGGACCTCTTTTGGAAGAATCTGACTATATAAGGCCCTGAAAAGATGAGAAGTCCCGGAAATACAGTTAATTTTCAGGGATCACCACTTTAGGATCATGAATGGTCTATCCCAATGATCAGGATATCAAGCAAAGGTGGGCAAAGTAGCAAAAAAAAGAAAAAAATCATAGGTGAACAAAAAAAAGAAAAAGTGTTTAAGAGGTACCTCTGTACCTGGGAAAGTGATAGAGCAAATAGTCCTGGTCACCTTCTCCAAATATTGGAGATGGTCAAGATGATTGAAAGTAGTCACCAGGTTTAGACTGGATGTTAGAAAGAGGTTCTTCACCCAGAGGGTGGTTGGGTGCTGAAACAGGCTTCCAGGGAAGTGGTCACAGCACCAAACCTGACAGAGTTCAAGAGGTGCTTGAACAATAGTCTTGGGTGCATGGTGTGACTCTTGAGGATAGTCCTGTGCCAGGCCAGGAGTTGGACCCAATGATCCTTGTGCGTCCCTCCCAACTCAGCACATTCTGTGATTCTGTAATAATCAGAATTTCTCTTGTGATGTAATCTGAGCTAGTCAGGTGTTGGTCACTATACATTACGATATTCCGCAGTATTAATTAATACACTCAGTATCCTGGTACAGAAAGAGGAAGGAACAGAATCTAAATTCTGTCTCCCCTACTGGCTAGGCTGTATTCCTGCTTGACTTGAAGCAGCAGCTTGATTCACTTAAACTTATATTGATCATAAAACTGTGGGCTCAAAAACCCTTACTTGAGCTTTCGGTTGTTTCATATTAAACACATCCTGCCACTAGGTCCTATTTGTCAGTTCTTTTGATGTCTCAGCCACACTAATCATCTCAAATTTCTTCTTCAAGAAATGCACAACTGATACTGAAAAACAGTTACCACAGTTTTAAGTAACGTGTTAATTCACTTTCTTCATTGTTATACTTTTAGATATTAAAAGCTGCAAGGCAAAGCTGGAAGCAAAAACAGTCTTGAAATACTTATCAAACATAGAAAGCCTTTGAATTTGACTCACTATGTGGTATAATTGCCATGTAAATATTTTATAATAATTCATTAAAATACAAATATAACTTATCAATTCTATTTTTACAGTTTTCCCAGGATACAACCCTTGATAACAGTTACACGTGCTTGTTATGTGTACCTCAGCACTTGCCTGAATTTTCTGTACATAGTTTGAAACTTAATTCAAAATGGGAAACAACAATGGAAGTCTCAAGGAACTTTACTTGGTTCAATGGCAAAATGGAATTCATTGAGTACAAAAATAAGATTTGATAAAAGTAAAAATCTGAGAGAAATGCTTGGCTGGATTAAAAATTTTGTTAGTTGTCTTTAGCAACACCAAGGAGAAGACTTGAATCCAGTTAAATATTATTTTGAAAACAAGCAGAGCTATTAAAAACATCAATTATTAATTTTCTGGAGATTGGAGAAAAAATAAGGAATATAATTTGACATCTCACTTTCGGTTCCTGTTAAAAATGCACAAAAATCTTCCAAAGTGTCTCAGAAACACTTCTGTTGGAATGTTTTACAAATATAACGTCCAGTCTTTTTCTTCAAAAAGAGGTTTTCTTGGTTTTCTTTTAAAAATTGAAAAGAATATGTAATAAGATGATGAGTTAGGAAATTGGAACTACCTTTTTAAAGAAATTAGTGGAAAAAAAAAACAAAATGAAAAGTCAGCAATTTGAAAGCAATGCAGTTTTAATATACTGTTTTTAAAGGTTTAAGGGTGTATAAATTGAAAGTATTGTAATTGATAGCTTCATCTTTTATAATTAAATATACCAGATGAAGACATTGTAGAAGTTTCGGCAAACAAATATAATCTAGTAGCAAGGCATTGAAATATTTATCCCAAAATGTCTAACCTGGATAATGAACGAAAACTGATTTTTTATAGGTGTTCCTGTACCTAAACTATCTCATTACTTCCACCTTTAGACATGTATAGTCCTTAAAAAATTTTCCCCTCCATTGCCAGTGATGTAGATATAAATGTTCTCGAGGTACTGGGGTCAGAACTAACCCAAGCAATTCTTTGTCTTTTCACTGTTTACTTATATTGAAAGTGAAAACACCTGTGATGTGAATGTGCTGCACAAACCTTTGAACTTAAGTGCAAAAATAAATCTTGAATCGAGCTGGTTTATTACTGTGACTTTAAAAATAGTATTATTTGTCATTCAATAGATATGTTCTGAAAAGTGTTTGCTACCTTGAATCAATTACTCATTTATTTCACAAAGGTAAAAATGCATTGAATGTTAATATTCTTAAGAAAAATTAAACTTTCTAGGATAAGTAAAAATTACATAGGCTTATCAACAAAGTAATTAAAAAAGAACAATATATAATAGTATGCCTGGATTATAAAGAACATTGCACTGAGAATTTAGATGTGTTGGATGGGGGAAAGCACAGAATGTGAAGGTATATTCAACAGAAGCAAAATCATTTTGTTCCCTTATTATTAGAATCTTTTAACAATTATATGTACATGTATGACTTGTGTACCTCCATTGTCTCTTTTATATATGGTTTTATCCTTTTACTGCTGTAATGGTATGGAAAATAACTAATATTCAGCACAAGTACTGCTGATTTAAAAATTTTTAAAACAATATATTAATGTATATTTTGGTCTCTTCTTTTTTTTTTTCCCCTTTCTCAATCTGTTCCCTGTGTTTGGCTTTGATTTTGGTTTTGGTTTTTCCCTTGGCTACTGGTGCCTCTTGCTTCTTTTCCTTTCTATTTGGTCAGTTGTTTTTGGCCAGTTTGTGTTTTTCCAGACATCACTCCATGATGTGGTTGAAGTATATGATGGCCCAACTCTACAGTCATCTTTGTTATCCTCTCTCTCAGGATCTCATTCAGGTATCCTTTAATAGAACTGTCATTAAAGTGGGGTTTTGTTGTTTATTTTTTTGTTTACTTGTTTGGGTTTTTTTAACCTAGAAAGATATGTATTCAAAAAAAAGAAAAATATACTTGTTGTATTTGCTTAGATTCAACTCAAGCAAATATATGAAATCCAGATGTTGAACTAAAAGCCTAAACCCTATAATAAAATGAATTACAATTATTTATTTTTTTTTTTACATTTTTTTCTCTCGTATTAGCTATTTAGCTATTACTGTGGATATTTGGGATTTGCTACTCTGTGCCTTTATGGCTTTTATCTAATGAGTAGTTTGAAATGGATATTAGATATTTTAAAGGAAAAGTAGTGGTTATTTGTAGTAAAATAAAATCATATAGATTAATTGCATATTAAGACAATTAAGAGAACTAGGGGGTTGTTTTTTGAATTTTGGGTTGTTTGCTTTTTTTTATTTGGTTGGGATTTTGTATGTTTGGTTGGTTTTGGTAAAGAAAAAAACAACAACTATTCCTAGTAACTGAGAGGAGTTTTAGCCTCTTCTTTTCTAAAATGACGTAATACTGTCAACATAAAGTGTTGAAAAAGTATATATCTTGCAAAGTTTACTGAGGCAGAACAGGGTTTGAGGAGTATTATTTCTAGCTGCAAAGAAGTTGACAGGTATTTTGAAGTCATCTTTAGTAAAAAGTGGTTATAATAACTTTATATTTGCTTTGTTTGAGTAGGTGAATCCCTTCCACTGAGCTCAGGGAACCAGATCACAGTTAGGTTTACTTCAGTTGGACCAATAACAGCTAAAGGATTTCATTTTGTTTATCAAGGTGAGACAACCTAGAAAAATGTGTACATTTATTCTGTTCATTATCATTCATTTGTAAATCATCAGAGAGAAACAGACTGAGAATGCAGAGGGAAGCAATAGCTTATTAACAGTATATCATTGTATAATCTACATATATTATATTCTAATATATTCTACGTATTTTTATATTACAAAACATGTATTTCTACATGTTTTTTTCTACTTAATAAGCATAAGAGTAGTTCCAAATTTAAGAAGGCACATACAAAGCTGCTGTTTCTGTTTCCTAATCTGATTGACAAATTTTAGATCCATCTGGGTGTTCAAACTGGTTTATCTCTCGATTTAAATGTGAATAGCTGTAAATATTATTACCTGTGGGTTAAAAGTGATCTTACTCTTATTAGGATACTTTTCTTGATTTACATTATTTGCCTTTTTATAGGTCAAATACAGAAATTGTTATATCTTAATACTTGCAACTCCATTCTTTCATTACATTTAGATCCTGATCTGACACTCAGAATACACATTTAGAAATTCACATGTATTAATATAAATATCTATCTCATTCAAAATGTTATTTTGAAACCCTGTATTAGCTGAGTTTTTCTTGGTAATATTTCTTATCCGTGTCATTTTAGAAAGGTTTTGGTGTGGATATTATACATTACTTCTAATCTTGGTAAGGATATCTGTGCTATGCTCTTCTAAATAGTAAATCAGACATCAAAAGTATACAATCTCTATTGTGAAGATTCATTTGGGGATTATGAAAAAGTTCTTAACTAGGAAATAATTAAATATTTCTTCTAGTAGTTTTGAATGTTTGTGGTTTAAAATCTGTATTTCTTCACCAAATCTAAAATTAAGAATCCACAATTGTTTGTATATTTGCAGCTGTTCCAAGAACAAGTGCAACACAGTGTAGCTCTGTGCCTGAACCGAGATTTGGAAAAAGGATTGGAAATGAATTTGCAGTTGGTTCATTGGTTCTTTTTGAGTGCAATCCAGGCTATATCCTCCATGGCTCAACAGCAATTAGATGTGATACGGTACCAAACGCATTGGCACAATGGAATGATTCACTCCCTACGTGTGTTGGTGAGTTCCTAAGGCTTTTTAATAGAACTAATTACAGCCTAAAGTGTAGACCATTTTTGTATGTATTTATTCATTGACATCTGTACAGTATTCTTCCTTACTTTCATTCACTTTCTTCTTCATTCAAGGACAAGTTTTATTCTCCTTTCAATTCTAACCTTGCTGTGACATTTCACAGGTTTCATGAATATACTCTGCTGCTATAAATTATATGATAGCTTCTCTTATATTAACATCGCTGACAGTCCCTGGCTGTCCTTTAATCAAGACTCAGAAATATTAGCTGGTGCCCTGACTTGCAACACTAAGATACTCTCACATTGCAGATCTCTAGCAAGACATTTCAAGTTATTAGAAAGAAACTACTACACTAAAGATTTGGAAATAGTAACACTGATATTACATTACTTGCCAGGAAAGAAGCATGGAAATAACATTTCAGGAAATGCACTTTAACTGATTCTAGTTATACAAGATTAAAATCGCAAAATTAAATTCTTAAATTAATAAACATCCATTGACATTTATAAGCTAATTTACACCAAGTGAAAATCTAGTAATAGCAACGAAAATCCCTACCGTAAAGAGATAAAATTATAATTTCCATAGGTTTGTGTCAAGGGCAAATATGGCATATTTACATGTTAAATTTTATTAGAGTTTGGATTGGTTTTTAATATGGAAAAAATCTGTTGTTTAAAAATTAATCAAATTTAGATATCATTTGCACAAACATTTTTGCAATACCATCATACTTTTCCACTTGTACTATGTGTTGCACTACTTAACTGCATTATACATTAATTTTGTGCAAATTGAATACATTGAAAACTATGAATTTTAAAGATGAAGACATCTGAAGAACTCTATTCTCAACCAAAACAGTAAATATATGTATGAGTTATAGTTACGTTACTTTTCTTGATAGACAACAAATTTTTTAATAAAAATTATTGTAACCCATTACAAAAAAGTCATTATTGTGTTGACTCCAGCATTAAGAAGTACATAAACAGAGTTTTAGGTAATTAGATGAAAATAAAATAAAATAAAATAAAGTAAAATAAAATAAAATAAGATAAAATAAAATAAAATAAAGAACGTATTTTCATTTGGTTGATTTTTAATCTTCTGTGCTACTCAGCTGATAGTGCATGGTAGAGTCTGAGTGGTTTTCAGTAAAGTAAAAGATTTTCTACAAAATACTAAAATCTTGATAAAGATCAAGGTTAAGTGTCAGTGGGGTAATATTTATAAAATATGACTAAACCGCTTTTATACACAAATATTATTTATTTAGACTGTTTCAGCCACAGCAAGAGAACCGTAATTTCTATATCAATAAGAAGATGAAGTATATAGCTGTATTTAATTTCTTCTCAGGGATTACAGTTTAATCAATAGAATTGTACTATTTTTCCCCTTGAAATGTATTCCATTTGTTTTTTCAGATATAACAACTTGACAAAGTGTTGAAGTAATTGTTTTGAACATTGATCACAATATATTATTGATATTTTAACACATGATTTAGTCTATGGAAGAGAAAGCAAGTTGGACTAGGAAGGGTTACAGACCACCTTCTGTATGAGAATCCCTATGCCAATAGAGGTAATAGAATGCATATGAGGTGAAAATTGCATTAAACTAAATCAGTTTAATAATTGAAGAGGTAGACATGACCATATTAAATTGCCTTAATTCTAGTGAATATTTCAATATTTTCTTACAGCTAATAAACATAAAATCATTGAATCATAGAATCATTAAACTCAGATCATTGAGTTTAACCTTTGCCAAACACCACCATGTCAACTAGATCATAGCACTAAGTACTGCCACATCTATTCTTTCCTTGAACACTTCCTGAGATGGTGACTCCATCACCTCCCTGGGTGGTCCGTTCCAATGCTTAGCCACCCCTTCCATGAAAAAATTCTTCTTGATGTTCAACCTAAACTTCCCCTGGCACAGCTTGAGGCCATTTCCTCTCGTACTGTCACATGTTGCCTGGGAGAAGAAGCAAACCCCCAACTTGCTGCAACCTCTTTCCTGATAGTTTTAGAGAGGGATAAGTCTCCCCAAGACTACTTTTCTTCAGACTAAACAACCCCGAATCTCTCAGCTCCTCCTCATAGGACCTACTCTCTAGAGCCTTCACCAGCTTTGTTACCCTTCTCTGGACTTGCTCCATGTCTTTCTTGTAGTGAATGGCACAGAACTGAACACAGGACTCGATCATTCTGTCTATTCAATTTTTTAAACACTTTAAATGACACTAACCTTTAATTTATCTGTGTAGTTCCAAACAGATTCTATCAATTATATGCCACACAAAATGTAGCTACAATATTTATTATTAAGATAAGTTGTATTCTTCCATTTTCTAAATTCTTGTATCTGCAGCTCCTAAAATCCCTTCAGAATTTAGTAGTGTTGCATAGAAGTGATACATTAGCTACTAATGGATTTGATAAACCATCTCATCAATCTTTTCCTTCAACTTCTAAAATACCGACAGAATATCTGTATGCAGATTAAGCTTTAATATCCTTTGTCCCTGTTAGAGCATCTAATGATCTAGACAAGATGCATTCAAGCTGAACAAGAGAAACTTCATGGTACTTAATGTGTCTGTCCTGTTTCATGCATAACACTTCCATTAATCCATGGACATGGATGTGATGAATGCAGTCTTGCAAGGATTTTGCAAATTTTTTAATGATGTAATAGATCCACAGTCTGTAATAGAATAACTCATACAAGCAGAGAACAGTCAAGGAGTCGAGACTGGTGTTATTAATTATTTAGACAACAAAGTAGCAAGACTAAGAAAGAACATTACCCTTTTTTGTGACACTTTTATCTTTTATACAAATACAATACAGAACTGTTCAAACTTCATTGTTAACCCCTAAAAAATGCTTTAGTTTTTGTAAGATTACTAGGAGATAATGGAATGGATTTCACTTTGTTAAAGGTCAGATAAATAAGAGAGATATAAGTGTGATTCTGTCCGGTAGGAAACTGACTTAATTTTAATTTTCCCTTATTCTTTATTAGTCAAGAAGGTTTTTGAGATATAAAGTTTTATTTTCCTGAAGCAAATATAATTTTTTTAATGTAGCAACAATTTAAAAAGTTTTCAGCCGTGGTAGCTGAACATTGTATCTTTTATAATAACTCTCACTCTCACTTTATAATCTTTTATAATAACTTTTCTCACTTCTGAAGCTTTGTACTTCTTTTTTTGCCTTATGCATTTCCTTTCAGTGCCCTGTGGTGGTATTTTAACAAAGCGCAAAGGGACCATTTTGTCTCCTGGTTACCCTGAGCCTTATGACAACAATCTGAATTGTGTTTGGAAGATCACAGTACCAGAGGGAGCTGGGATTCAAGTGAGTATACTTGCTATTTCCTTGCTATCATCATAATTAGAACTGCTTTTCCTGATGCATGAGGATGAAAAGATTGTTTATTCACAAATTTTTCAATGTCTTTAACAATTCTTAAAATGGAATTTATTGCACGTCTTTTTATTTACACAATGATTAAAAGTTAAAAGATTTTTTTAAAATCTTAAAAGATGCACTTGTAACTTTTTACTTAGAAGACAGTAACCATCATTTTAAAATGTGTTATTTCAATAGATCAGTGACTTCTTGTAAGCCAAAGGAAATAAAGAGCCTTCCTATGAATTCTTTTTTGCTCTCCCAGAATTGATATATCTCCTTTAACAGAGTGAAATTAAGTAAGCTACTTCCGTGCACAAGTTATATATGTTTTCCAAGAAACTCTGCTATTTACTCTATGTTTATGTGAGTTCATTGTGATCTAAAGATGTTTCAGTGTTTTTCAACATGAGATGAGAATTGATCCTTCAAAACAGTTTCAGAATTCTCTTTACTTGAGTAGATTAAGAACTTCATTGAACACATAGTAAGAAAGTATCCATTAAGTTAAGTCATGCATATCTCACTCTAAAGAGTTCATTAAAGAAACTGACAGAAATCTGCTTATTGGGAAGGTAGCTGAGTTTAATAAATTAGGACTTTTAAGAATTATCTGAACAAATTCCTTGCAAAATGCTATTCAAAAAGCCTTGATAGCAAGATGCCTCTCCTCAGTTCAAAATATAACTATTGTAGTGTCCCAGTTCCGGCCAAGACAGAGGTAATTTTTTGCAGCAGCTGTGAGGGAGCAGAGCCTGATCTGTGTGGGCATGCCTAGGAGGTTATTTGATACCACCTCACATCATTGCTGGGGGCAGGGGAAGGGACTCTCTGGCCTCTGAGAAGAAGAGTGGAGCTTCTGATCAAAAAATGTAGTGGAGTAGGAGACTGGTTCACCTTTGTTCATTGTCACAGAGGTCCCTAGTGAGCATTTTTGCATGTGAATCACTCCCTCTTTTGTATACTTTTGTTGTTAATATTGTTGCTCTTACTGTTTGTTATCTTATCTCATTGCTATTTCTGGTAAATTGTTCTTAACTCATGATCTCTACCTTTTGTGTCTCTTCTACGAGGGGGTGGAGTGGAGCAGCTTGTGGTCTTTTAGTGGGAGTATTAAATTGGGGAATATCATTCCTAAACCATAACCTGTAGCTAACAAATAAAGAACTCAATTGCTGGAGGTAAAGATTTAATAACGAAAATCAGGAAAACCATTGTTGATAGTTTATTAAAGATTTTAATAAATTACATCACAGAGCTTTTAAGGTATTCTGCTGTGTCAGGAAAAGTTTCAAAAACAACATGAGTTTGCTTTTCATAAGCATTCAGAAAAATCTATATATTTTTGTTTTAAATAACTAAAAAAAGCTTTAAAAAAATATTAAAAAATATAAAACTATGGAAGAAAACAGAAATCATCACAAATACAACCTAAGTCTATACATGATAATATTTAAGAGTTTAAGTTTCCAAGCTACCAATGTCCATCAGCAATCATAACCTAAATCGGTTTTGAGATTGATTTTGAGGAATACTAATTGATTTAAGCAGTTGACTAGATTAGCAGACAGCAGACAGCAAATTAGGATAATTTGTTCTGTGCATTTCTTATACTAGGAGGATAGCTTAGAGGATTTAAATTAGGCATTAATTCATCATTGTGCCTATGGCCATCAGTGTTGTTTTTTTAGAAGTGTTTATCTCTTATCACAGACTGCACTAGGTGATTAAATTACTAACTTTTATTTTAAGTGAGGTGTCTAATCTTCATAATATTCTTTTGCTCCAGAGTCATAATTAAAAAATATATATTTACTGTTTCCATTTGTTCTAGTTCTCCCGAGTTTTTTTGACGTGTTAGCAAATACCTTCCTTCATTTTGGTTATCAGTTACAGAAGAAGTAATTCTTTTATACTTGTGTAAAAGTAGTGACAGCAGGGCAGTTTCTTGGCCATACCCGTATTATTGTAATTAGATCTGTAGAATGTTTAACGTTGTTACTGAAGCAGGGCAGTCCTGAAGTGTGATATTCGTGCTTGATCCTTCCAATAGTGTCTGACTGTCAGAAAGATAATGAACCTGATATAATAAACTGAATACAGCTGATACTGTGATAGATAATGCTTTTTTGTTATGTAAATGTGTAAAATATCTGGACATTTTTCCTGACTGATATTATTTCCTCAAAGTAACAAAGGCACTTTCTCATCTATAAAGGAGATAAAATAAAATATCCCTAACACATATTCTTCTGTGAAATTTGGATATGGAATTTTAGACTACTTAGGTGGAACAGCTCTCTGTGCGTATGATTACTTTGTTGAATTTACTGAAATATTGTGATCAGATGTAAATGCTGAGCTGTCCCATATCAAATAAAAAAGCAGACATTTAAAAGCATATTTAGGTAAATATAAAGTGTGCACCAAAAGCTTCCCTTTGGACACATAACTTAAATACCTTATATCAGGAAATTAATTCAACCGTAGTTCTTTCTAAGGTTAGGAAAGAAAGTCACTTTGAGTAGGTAATTCAAAAAGCTAATACAGACTGACTGCAATCACTGCCTGAAGGGATGTCTACCTATTTATTGACTGCATGTTAGGGCAACTGGTAGTTAGGGTAACTAGCTTCAGTTTCACTAAAACAGATGTTTTGAATTAGGTGTTTTATGATTAACATAAAAATTATAGTTAGCATCAATTTGTCCCTGAAAACATGTCCCTAAATGCCAGATAATTTGAAATTTGTTCTGAAGGTTTCCTATGTGCCTGTGATCCCCATTCAGTACCTCCTCAGAAATATTCTGACAGAGACAACACCTATAAGTTTCATTCTAAATTCCTTGTGAACCAAACAGACAAGTATCAAAATTTTCTGGGAGATCAGACCCAGTGAGCATCCTGCATGTATCTGAAACGTGCCAACAGTCAGGGCTTCTCCAATGCTTCACTTGAAAAAAAAAGAAAAAAATCCTTCGACTGTAGTACATGACCAATTCCTACAAAAAAGAATAGTATTTAAGGCCCCCATCCAAGAAATAGGTAGCCAAATTAAACATTCCTTTTATGTAGAAGGCCCCAGTCATATATTTCACATAAAAATATAACTTCATCACTTAGTTTTACTGGAACTGCTGCTTATTTCTTCCACTGAAGTTATTCCATTTTGAGGAAAAAAAAAAAAAAGGAAGAATAATTGAGGCAGAAGAAATATAATTTCTAACTTAATGATGAAGGTACTTATTTCTGAGAGTGACTGAGGTTTCATCGTGCTTTTGTCACTCTTTAAAAGCTTTTCAGTTAACAGTTTCACTAAAAAAATAAAAAAGCACCAGACTCTTTCCCCTCCAGAAGAGGAACCTAGTATTTCTCTACTTTGTGAGGTGTAATTTCACTATATGAGAACAAATATATCCTCCTTCTTGAAGTCTTACCACTTTGCATGTCCTTATGAGAGGAAGCATTTTGACACCTTGACACGTGAAAAGGAGCAGAAATGAAGGATTTTCTGTCCTATCTGTATTAATATATTTTTTTGTCTATCAGTGTCCCCCTCCTGGGAGTTCAAAGCCTTTAAGGTCTGAAAACAGTCAGCATTTTGTTAGGGGGAGACCCTTTGTTTGACAGATTGACTGAGATGGACAGGACTTTTGATACCCTATTTCTGAGGACTGCACTTAATAGCAATGGAGAACCTTCTCAGTAAGTTTCTCCTATGAGTTATGCTGCTCTCAATGAGCCTGCCAGCACTGAAAAAAACAAACAAACAAACAAACAAACAAAAAATGGACTAACTCTTAGCAACTCTCGAAATAACTTTTATTAATACAAATCTGTGACAACTTATAGGGTTCACGTGATCAGTGATAACACTTAACTGCAAAATTCCACTTTAGTAAAACCTCAAACCAGAAGCGTGCTCTCCAAAAACAACACAACTCCCTAAGAAGCAGTAGATCACTATAACACCTCAATATAAAACTCAAGCAACCCACCTCCATGACAGACCAATTTACAAAGATTAGTAAAAAATCTAAACACACTCACTAACACAAAGCAAAAAGGAAAGAATATTGCTGCTTCTCACTAGCACACACTTTAACTCACTAAGACCAAGAAATACACATTTTAAGGCAAACCACGTACAATGAGTCAGAATACATGATCTAAGGCAATAAAGCATGGTAGTCTATAAGGTATAGGGCAAAGTAAAACTGGTAAGGCAGGGTAAAATTAGTATCTATAAGGTAAAGGTCAAATATCGAAGTAAAGGTAAAGGGGGAAAGCAAAAAAAGCAAAGTACAGTTAGTCTGTAAGGTAAAGATAAAATATATATAAGGCAAGGTATAAGGAAATAAAGTACAATTAGTAAAAAAGCAAATTACAATTAGTCTATAAGGAAGTAAAATATAATTAGTAAAGGTGAAAGCAAAATAAAATATAAAAATGATTGCTCACCCCGCAGCATCCTGAGAAGTTGGAAGGAGAAAAGGCAGCTTGTCATTTACCCCCTCAGAAATTATGGAAATTCTCCCCTATTTTTGCTCATGTCTGAACTCCTTTTATACTTGTTTTTCTTAGGCAGTTTGAGTGACTATAGTCAATAAACTAATTTTTGGGGTGATAGATGACATAGGCCTGCTTCCTGAGTTCCCATCAGGTAGGATGTTTGTGAAGAAAGGCCATGCTATCTCCATACCATTCCATCCTTTGTTGATCCTATCAGTCTGTTGCTGAGAAGTCTCACCCAGGTGCTAGGGTCTTTCAGGAGGCCATCAGGAGTCTCTTTGTCAGAATATCCCTTCCAGGTGCTGGGGTCTTTCCAATAAGCACTGAGGACTGTCTTTGTGGCCTTAAATTGGTCTATCACGTTACAAACCTCTGGAAGAAATGAAGTGACTATTCTGCCTTCTGTTTGTAGCATTCTGGTGACTGCTTCTCCTCAGGGGCTGAGTCAGTGATGAAGGTAACCAAACACAGCAGGTTGCTCTTACCTGGAGGCAGAATTGAATAACTGGTTTAATACTGGATAAACTACAGAGAAACAAAAAGAAGTGCAGGAATTGAAGATATCATGTTTTGTCTTCTCAATGTCCTCCAAACAAGGAAATCATATTCTAAACCCATATGATTTTCACAGTTGTCTGACTCTTGTCACATGATTTACAATTTGAATTGGCAATCAAATTAAAAAAAAAAAAGTTGTCTTTTTATTCACTTAATGGTGATTTTCCGTTCTCCTTGACAAGGAGAGCAAGACAACTTTTCATGACTGAGAGCAACAGAGGCTACAATTTAGAGTCTTCTTTGAGCTTGAATGCAGAGAGGAAGTTTGTGTTCTTTACCTCACATTTTTCTTCATAGGTCCAAGTGGTGAGTTTTGCCACAGAACACAATTGGGATTCCTTAGACTTCTACGATGGTGCTGACAACAATGCTCCAAGGCTTGGAAGTTATTCAGGTGACTGAGAAGATTTTACAATAAGTGATTCACAGATTCAACTCTTTATTGTAAACACATAGCTCTTTCTGGTTCTTGTGTGTGTGTGTAAGTGTGCACAAGCACAGTGTGTGTTTGTTTCTCCTGTAATTCACTATAGGTAATATTTCTCTTTTAATCAGTCATCACTTAGCAGACTTTCATTAAGCTATATATTTGAAAATGTTAGAAAGGAAATAACATTCAGAGACTTCCACACTAGATCTGTATTAATCCTATTTTTTTCCCAGTCATATAGTAGGGTCTAGAAACACAAACCTCAAAAATAGGTTTCTCTTGAAATTTTACATGACAAAAGGATGCATCATTTATCTTTATTTTAAATAAAGGAGACAGTTCTGTTTGCCTTACTTTTTCTTGTTTTCTTTTGTTTTTCTTCATTGTACTCCATACAGGTATATGGTATGAGATCAGAAATGATAATATTGTCTTGTGCTGAAACACAAATAAATATTCACATTTCTAAGAACAGTCCTACAACATATTTTCAGAGCTGCTTGATATATGTGACTGTTATGTTTAAAATTATTCCTGTTACAGGATTTGCTCTTACTTTTAAGAAAACCCTAGTGAATATTTCTCCTTTTGTGGATAAAAGCATGTAATATAAATTTATAGTAGACTTTGCTTGTCTACAGTTCATGTCTCTGATATTGTGGTGCACTGAAAATGTAATAAAAGTTTTATGTGGACAGGTGTTTGATAGCATCCATGATGACAAAATGTTGTGGAATTGGTTATGTGACCTGTCTCTCTTCCATCCTCTCCCACCTCTTTTCCCCACTTTTCCTCTCCTTCACTCTATACACATACACACACTTATGCATGCATTTAGTTCAGTTTCTGTGCATTTCAATAATGTTTTGAATTCTCTTTTCAGGAACAACCATACCTCCACTTCTAAACAGCACATCAAATAATCTGTACCTAAATTTTCAGTCTGATATCAGTGTTTCAGCTGCCGGATTTCACCTTGAGTATACAGGTAATTCAGAAATATTCAATTAATAAAGAGTACTTGCTGGTTGTATCTAAACTATATGAAATAGGAATATTTAGGACTACTGCACAAAATGAGTTTTCTTTCTGAACGACTTTACCTCAGCTGACTGACAGAAATTCTGGCAATCACTAATAGTTTGTTGCAGATTTCCGGGTTTGGGTTTTTCTTTTTTCCTTCCCAGCTGTGCAGTTCCCTCTGCTTATATTGGTTCTGGTGTCTGATCTGCATAATTGTGTCATGGTTATTTCTTGTCAGTTTTACTCTATGCAAATCTCATGCTCTGGTTGTCTGATTAGCCAGCTGGAGAACAGAGCCTTGCAAAATTGTTACCTGATCACTTGTCTATAACAAAACATTAATTATAGATAGAATTATCCTGCCATTTCCTTGAAATGCAGGTACTCTCTCAGCTACTTACAACTTCGGGTGGGGAAAAAAACAGGAAGTTATGAAATTGAAATAAAATAAGACCAAATCTAGTAAAAGTGAAAATGCATTCCTATATGTCCAAATAATGTGTGTAGTGTACTATCTGTATACAATTTTCTAAAAAAAGAAAAAATTCACAGTGTACTATTTATAGTATTGGTCCATGCTGAGAATAATAGCCAAACATGCATGTATGGATTTATGCAGAGGTGTATGTGTATGAATCTGTACAAAAGTAATGTTTTCTCTGTGAATGTTTAAACCCAAAGTATATGTTGAAAATTTCTGATTCAGGAAATAATATTGATGTCCCTCAGTAGATACCAAATTAACCAGTAGCTCAATGAAATATGCTATTCTACAAGATAAATGAAAAGTAACTTTTTATAGAATCACACAGAATCACAAAATCAACCAGGGTGGAAAAGACCTCTGAGATCATTGTGACCAACCATTGACCCAACACCACCTTGTCTACTAGACCGTGGCACTACATGCCGCATCCAGTCTCTTCTTAAATACCTCCAGGGACGGTGAATCCACTACCTCCATGGGCAGCCCATTCCAATGCCAAATGACTTTCTCTGTAAAACATTCTTCCTAATGACTAAACCTCCCTGACACAGCTTAAGACTGTGTCCTCTTGTCCTACTGCTGGTTACCTGGGAGAAGAGACCAATGCCCACCTGGCTACAACCTCCCCTCAGATAGTTGTAGAGAGTGATGAGGTCTCCCCTGAGACTCCTCCAGGCTAAACAGCCCCAGCTCCCTCAGCTGCTCCTTGTAGGGTCTGTACTCACGTCCCTTCACCAGGCTCGTCGGCCTTCTTTGGACCTGCTCCAGCACCTCAGTGTCCTTCCTAAATTGAGGGACCTAGAACTGGACACAGCACTCGGGGTGCGGCCTCACCAGTGCCAAGTACAGAGGCAGAATCATTGCCCTGGTCCTGCTGGCCACACTGTTCCTGATACAGACCAAGATGCCATTGGCCCTCTTGGCCACCTGGGCACACTGCTGGCTCGTGTTCAACTTCCTGTCAATCCAGACTCACAGGTCCCTTTCTGCCTGGCTGCTCTCCAGCCACTCTGTGCCCAGCCTGTAGCGCCGCATGGGGTTGTTGTGGCCAAAGTGCAGGACCCGGCACTTGGCCTCGTTGAACCTCATCCCATTGGAATCAGCCCAACTCTCCAACCTGTCCAGGTCCCTCTGCAGAACCCTCCTGCCTTCCAGCAGATCAACACTCCCCCACAAACTTGGTATCATCTGCAAATTTGCTGATGGTGGACTCAATCCCCTCATTCAGATCATCAGTAAAGATATTAAACAGGATTAGACCCAACACTGATCCCTGGGGGACACTGCTAGTGACCGGCTGCCAACTGGATGCAACACCGTTCACCACCACTCTCTGGGCCCCACCCTCCAGCCGGTTCTTGATCCAGCAGAGAGTGCCCCTGTCCAATCCATGGGCTGCCAGCTTTTCCAGGAGCACCTTTTTTTCTCCTTATATAACACTTTTTCCAAAATAATATACTTGCTAGTCCACAGACAACTACCAGTACCCAAGAGCTCCCTAAAATACAGTGTACTTTTATACAGTGTACAGAGAAGTTCTCTGTGAATCTAAACCCACATTTTATGTTCCTTAGAACATTTAAACTTCTCTGCTTTTCTCAGCTATAGGTTTGGATTCTTGTCCTGAACCACAGACCCCAAGCAATGGAATCAAAATTGGAGACAGATACATGGTTGGAGATGTGGTGTCTTTCCAGTGTGATCAGGGTTATTCTCTTCAGGTAAGACAAGTTTCCAATTTCAAATTTCTTTTAATTGTTTAACGTGGTTATATTTGCGTCTGTCACTATAAAACGGACAATGAACTCTTTGCGAATTTTAAACCCATGAGTACAATTCACAGTGTACAATTATTGTTATACTTTTGGGTTTATATATTTTGATGGTGTATTAAATTATACATTATTTTTGTTGAGATATTAAGTTGTGCTGTATGCTGTATATTTTTTATATGAATTAGCACATATTGTGTCATTTTAGGGACATTCACATATCACTTGTATGCCTGGACCAGTAAGAAGATGGAATTATCCAATTCCAATATGTTTAGGTATGTTCAGTTTACATAATGTTTCTTAAATATGCCAGAATGAGAAAACCAGAGAACACAAAATAGATACATGTAGGGGAAAGAATAGGGACAACTGGAATAACTTAATTAAATGTGAAAATGGTCAAATTAAACTAAAGGTTTTCAAAGGTTGTCTCAAACTTATATTGGTAAATCTTTTCTGAAATGTCCACGTAGGAAAAGAAAGAAGTATGTTGTCCCTTTCGATCCAAACTGTTCTATGATATGATTCTATATGTTTAGCTAGAATCTATCATCAATTCATTATCAGAATTGAGACCTCTAGAGAGCCTCAAAAACATAGGTAATTTATTTAGGACTCATTTCCCCAGAAAAGTGTTGGTTATTGTAGTACATACTAAAATAGAAATAACATTACATTTTCATCTCTAATGGGTTCAACATAGGCATGTCTACCCAATATCAGAAAACACATTATTTTTCAAGTTATATTATATACATGTCCATATTAATATTACTGAAAAAAACCACTGAAAGCTGTCATAAATGGAAATGAAAAATCTGAAGTGTATTTAAATATACTCTCTTTGTATGAGGAATAAATGTGAGGATTTTAAAACTTCTAGTTGTATTCTCTTTCACTGCATAGAAATGCCTTTTCGTTTGGGTTCCCTAACACTAAAAGTTATCACTATTTATAATCTTGAATGTATGGAAAACAGGATCCTGCTCATTAAAGATCTTCTACTTTACTTTTCTTGAAGACAGATTATATATCCTCTTGAGCAGCCTCAGATAATCCTGTTCTTAATCCTGTGGGGTGTTAAAAACCTCCTATGAGGTACTGAGCTCCCTCAGTTTAGAATTTATAAATATTCAACAAGATTGAGATATTTGTAAGAATTTTTTCAGGAGTTAGTCTTCAGTTTCTGTCATTAAGCATTAACATATGGTTAGGAAGTCTGATATTATAATTGCACTGCTCCTGGTAAATTCTGAAGACAAAGACACTGTGCTGAAATTCTAGGAAGTTTTCTTCCCCTTTACTTTCCTTCTTTTTTGCAAGTAACGATTTTTACTTGTGTTTCAAATGATGTAGCAACTCTTACATGGACAAAGCTGTTAAACAAAAATTCTATTTATCATAATTAACACCTTTAAATGTAATATGGAAATCTAAGTTACTTTATTCACTAATGTCATACCTTAACAAAAAATTAAGTTGAAATATGGATTTAGTTTGATTTCTGGAAGTATGTGTGTGTGTACCTTTTCTAAGTCTGTTCATTTTATCTCATTTTTAGAACAATAGGATACAGATGCAGTTTTTAAAGGGCCTCTTCAAACACTTTCAGTACAGAGTCTTTAAATTACATTGTTATATTATTCAGATGCTCCTTTACAAACTGATGTCTCAGTGCTGCTATGAGCTGATCTGTACCTCTTGCCTGTCACAAAGACAGTTCACACAGAGTGCAGAGTAAACATTAGGACAGTGAAACTTGTGAAGGGTCTGGAGCACAAGTCATATAAGGAGGGGCTGAGGGAGCAGGGGTTGTTTAGCCCTGGAGAAGAGAAGGGTCAGGAGGAGGCATTTCAGGTAATTTCTGGCTACCCAGGATGGTGCTGGAGTCACCATCCCTGTAGGTGTTCAAGAAGTGACTGGAAATGGCACTTAGTGCTATGGTCTAGTTGACAAGGTAGTGATCAGTCACAGGTTGGACTAAATGATCTTGGAGATCTTTCCCAGCCGAAATTATTCTATTCTCTTGTCAGGTGCACATGTTCCCTAAGTTAAAACCTAGTCAATTCAGATACCTGTTTTTAGAGTACCTACTTGTAAATTACTTTCTTACAGATATTTAGTGGTAAAGGAATATTTGTATGTTTTTTGAAATATAAACCTAGCTATTGTTATATTATTAATGTGATGAGGATCTTTAATGCTCTGGATTAGTTTTTAACTCATTTCACTCCTCTGAAAAAGGTCTTTGCTTTTATTTTCAGCACAATGTGGTGGTGGCATGTCAGACTTCAGTGGAGTGATCCTCAGCCCTGGGTTTCCTGGCAACTATCCTAGTAGTTTGGATTGCACATGGACAATAAAACTACCTATTGGGTTTGGTATGTGTTCCTTCATAGATTAAAATTGGTCAGGCTTTTTTATGAATTCAAAACACTGAACATAGATTTTAAAATATTGATAATCTTTATCCTATCAAAACCCAAAATTAATTATAATTCATTTAAAGAAGTTATCAAAGCCTTAAAAGAAAGAAATAGAATAGAAAAGCTAAAAGGTTCTTTTTTTTTTCTTTTAACATGTGCCATAATTTTCTGATAAAGACAAAATTGTTTATTAGAATTAAGCACAATTTTCTAACTTAACAGGATTGATTTCTTTTTGGGAAGTCACAAACCCAACGAAAATAAATAGCTATCATGAATATTTCAAAGCAAGTCACTATCACTTTAGAAGTTAAAGCTACATTTGAATTAATTATCATTTGCATATCCTAGGTGAATATCACAGCAGCACAAAAATGTTCCTTGAAAGGAACTCCAGAAGCCTCCCACTCAAAGTTGTCAAGCTTCCCACTCAGAGTAAAATTGTTGGTAACACTTAATCAAGGCCACTACAACGGGCAGAACCTTCTAATTGGGGCTGCTACTCAGCTATTCAATTCCCAGCCTGTAATTACATGTAAGAATGTTGTGCTCCAGATGTAGAACCTTGCACCTTTCATTGTGCATGCCTTTAAGAAGGGTTTGTTTACTCCATTCTGAAGTTTTTCAGTGTTCACTGAACAGAAATTGTGCCATTTAGTACATCATCCATGCCCCCTAGTTTAGTATCCTCCACATATTTGTTGAGAATGCATTCTCATTTTCTAGGTCTCTCCCAAAGACAGAACAGTGTAATTTCTCATAGAAATCTGTGGAATATGGTCCTTGTTACTGGTTGCCAACTACTGAATGGCTAATTGTCACCCTTGGAGCCTCAAAGTTATGTTAATATTTAACATACTTCCTTTCCATTCATCAAATTCATGTTTGTTGAACTTCCAGATGAGAATGCTATAGACTGAGTCAAAACCCATAGCAGAGTGAAGCATATTATATCCACCGCTCTGCCTTTGTCAGTTTAATAATAGAAGGAAATAATGGTTGATTGACTGTTATTTTCATTTAGCAAATCCATGTTGAGTGCTCCTGAGTCCCTTTCTTGTCTTTTATGTGTTTGGAAATTGTTTCCAATCAAACAAGTTCCATAATCTTCCCAAGGACTGCAGTGAACCTGTAGTTGCCCTTGCCTAGGTCCTCCTTCTTGTCTTAAAGGTGGATATATTTTCAGGCTTTTTTGAGTCACCAGAACTTCTCCTATTCACTATGATTTTATAAGGGAATTATCAGCATTTTAATTACACTGCCTAAACCCTTGAGCAACTTTGGGTGGATCTTGTCTATATTTTATTTTGAAATCTTTATTCAAAGCTAGCCAGTACAGTTGTCCTATCTAATTTTTTAACACTTGTGGAACCTTTTTAGGAGTATGTGCACTTCAATTTTTTTCTTTATATGCTAGTTGAATAGCATGCTGGTTTTTTTTAGACATACCTCACTGTTTTCTATTTTATACTTGCCATCTTCTGTCATATTCATTTCTGGGTCTTCCAGAGTAAGTGAGTGTGACATCCCAAACAGTGTTCCCTTCTGCATGTGTTCAGATTTTTTCCCTCCTCTTTTTAAAATCAATTTTGTGATATTTTTGATTAGAAATCCTACAAGCTTTGTTCACTTATTGTTTAAATGAAAGCCAATTGTTCTGCACAGGTTCCCATAGAATCTATCTGTGGGAAATAAATTATATTAGAATATAAAATTATTAGAATTAGAATATTAGAACCCAATTTATTTGTTTGCATTTTGTTCAAAAGACCAGTCAATAATTGATTTTTTTTTTTGTATTATCATTTTAAAGAAATAACATCAACACTTTAACTCTGCCACTACCTGAATTTCTAGACGACCTGGTGGGACAGTTTCTAATGTTTCATCATGAGTCACAATGCTGCCTAGAATCTTCAGATTCCAAGGAGATTTCTGCTCATTGAGTTATCACAAAAAAACAAAACAAAACCAAAACAAAACCAAAAAAACAACCAACCAAAAAAAAAAAAAAAGTAGATACATCCTCCCTGAGTCAAATCTTCAGGAGAAAAAAATATTCAGAGCTATCAGGGAACAGGATACTTTGTCAGATGGTTCCAAAGACAATTGCTAATAAAGAAAAAAATAATAAAAATCTGGAATATCGATTAAATTTCACATTTCATAAAATAGTGTGTTTGACTGCATTTAGAACCTGCTGTCTTTTTATCTTTTTATGTTGCTTTCTGCCTCTTGGCTCACTTTACTGCTGTCCTATCACTTTTCCAATACTGACTCCTTACTACAATCCATTTTTTTGCTTACATTCTCCCAGGCATATGTTTCCAATAATTCTAATTTGACTCTTCAGACTTCTATTTAAACTTTTTATTATTAACATACTATTTAGTTTGACTTCCATTAGGCAGGAAATTCAACTATTCAAGTTTTGGAAACAGTTTCTTTGATAAATAAGTTTAGCTTCACCAAAATCAATAGTTCTGAACTGCTTTGTCCTAACTGAAGTTTATTCACTGGATTTATCAACTGTTTTCCAGTTCATGTATAGGAAAATAAAATGCTCCTTTTTCTAGGAACAAGTGCTTGACATTTTTGACCTTTTCTAAATGGGATGTGATTAAAACAGCATTGAAAATTAAAGTAAAATTTCATTTTAAAAAGAAAAAACGTGACATTTGAAGAAGTGATGGCTAAAACTGGTTTTAGTGATGCTGTGATTCCAGTCCAGTGGGGGCACTTAAATCCAACTCTTCTGAGTAGTAAATAGAAAAACACAAAAACACCATCGCTTCTATAGACTTTCACTTGTTTAACTGATTCTAATTTTTTTTTTCTCAGTTATTAATTACAGATCATAAGCTTTTCCACTGGATGTCAGCTAATAGTGTAATCTAAACCAACTGTGTTGATGTACATATACAAATATATTTGTATTTACAAATATTTTAAATGCTCTTTCAAGAGGGGTGTCCAAACTGCAAAAAGTCAGAGAAAAAATCAGTCCAACAAGCAGAAGTCTCAGACAAATAGAGACAGGCTGAGGAAAGGACGAATACTTGGGAATACTGCTACGGTTCAGGAACTTGTAGATAAAGATAGTAGAGTACAGAGAGCAGAATGATGGGCAAAAATATATTAGACATGGTCTTGTATCAAAGAAAGTGGGTGAAAGAGGAAAAAAACCTGACAGCAAGATCACAAGAGTCGGTAGTTATTAATGGCAGCTTAAACTTTGGACAAGTGTTTGGTTCACAGTATCAAATGAAAGGCCAAGCCTACAAATATCACAGAAAAAGAGAAAAACTTGGATATAAGTTGATTTGGAAGGTGGCAAGGTCAAAGAAAGACATTTATAAGAAAGTGTTTTCTTATGACATATAGGCTGTCTTCTGATAAAGAAAGACAGAAATTATCATGTTAATAGTAATTTAATTATGCACCTTTCTTTTTTTCTGGTAGCATATAAAATATTCTATGCTTCATAAAACCATTCACAAACTTTACATGGTATCTAGGGAGAAAACTCTAAAAGACAGTGACAAACACTATTTAACTATTACAGTCTAGGAGTTATAAAATTATTCATTACTTTTTCATAATTTATCTGATATTATATCTTTTCCTTTCAATTTTATATGAAATTATGTTGCATGTCTTTACCAGAAACACCAGTGGAGCTCAATCATCTTTCTAATGAAACTACTCCATTATCATTCTGTATTTGCACTAGTTCCTGACAAAATACAAATTCTACTTTGTCGTAATTATATAGAAATTTGTATAAACAGGAAAATGTTTAAAAGACCTATAACTACTCAACTGCTGAACATTTTCTTCTCCTCTTGCCACATAATCATTGCAATACTCCACCTGGTTAGGAGAGATAACATGCTAATGGATAGTAAGCTACCTCCCTGTTCCTTACTAAACCAAATAATCAGAAATTTCTGTCACTAAGACCATCATATGCCACAGTGTGTGTATGAGAATTAAATAATTGAACTCCATGTTTAATGGGAGAGGGACTGATGAATGATGGTTAGCTAACATGATTTACATTTTTTTAGTGACTTAGAAAGAAGTGTTATAAGTGCAACCACCTCCTGCAGCCACTCCAGCTGAGGATCCTCCTGCCTGTGGAGCTCAGTCTGGTGCCCAGAGACACAAAATCTCTGCCCGAGATGAGTGGTAGCCATGTGCCACTTTACCATTTGCAGATTCAAATAGTAACAAAGCTGAGCACTGACACACAAACACAGAGGACACTGATGTGGCTGGTAACACACACTGACACTGAGAAGGGTACTACCTTCAACACACTTACTTACAGGGCTTACTTAAAACACAAACACAGGCAGCCAAGTCCCCTCCTCCTCATGGGTTGGCAGAGACAGAAGGTCACTAAAGATACACACACAATGTCCTCTAGGTTGACAAACACACATACATTGTGGATGCCTAGAGCATCTGCTTGCAGCCCCCTCTGGATCTCAGGCTTCATGGGTCCCCTACTCACCAGCCAGTCCAGTTTGATGCTTGCTGCAAATGTGCAGCACTCACACTCATCCCTTATGTACTCCATTTCTTCAAGTCCTGAGTGTACCAGCATGGACTCATCCTGCCTAATACCCTGAACTGGACCCAAGGCCTTCCTACTCACTGTCTAGTCCAACTGAAAGTTTGTGAGCAGGTGACACGTGTGCATCCCTACACTCACTGGGACTGGGGATGATATAGACACTTACCCCTCAGCAGCCAGCACCAGGCACAAGGCTGTGACCCACAGCCTCACGGCTCTATTACAACCACCAACACTGAGCTCTTCATCGCCCCACTACTAGTCCTCCCAGTAGCTGGTTTCAAGAACACACTGTTCCCATCCCAGTGACTGAAAGTTCCTTGTAAACATTTCAGGCCAGAGGCTCCCTGCTTTGACTTCAGAAGCTGGCACCCAGTCCACTCACACTGGTGCCTCCGTTAGCTGACAATCTAGGAATGAGGTCTGTAGGACTATCCCTAGATCCAGAGAGCTACGACCTCTTACTCCCTCAAGTAGTTGGCACCACTGGCTGGAGGCACCCACACCACTCCAGTAACAGGCACCAAGTTCTGCTCGGGTTCAGGTCTCACCAGTAGCTGGCACTTAATCCTTGCCAACACATAAACGCAAGATTAAGAGTGAGATTACACAGACAGATAGCTAAGAAAAGATTTAATAAGAAGATATGAGATGATAGGACAGATGTGACCAGGTGCTCAACCAGACAAACATACTGACCAGCCCCATTTTACATGAAATATGTTCCTTTTATTCTCTATTCTCATCACTACCTCACTTACTGTTTGTCCTTCGGGTTCATGTGTTGGTATGCTCTTGTTCATGCCTTCGTCCTCTTCTTATTTTTTCTTGCTCCGTTGAAAAAAGGTCAGTGACCAGATAACCTTGAAGGAGCAGATACTTTACTTCTACATACTTTTACAATACATATAATCCATATAAGATGCATTTTTTTTAACTGTGCCTCATTATTTCATGTATATAAATGTTTTTTAAAAAATAAATATAATCCGAGAGAGATCAGTTTATGTACAACTAGAGTGGAGCTATCTCTGAGATAGAAGTCTGTCACTTCTTTTTTTCAGGTGTATACACACAAAGCATTTTTTCATTTAATAGAAAAGGAGATTATGTAATTGAAAACAGGAAAGATTTAGCTAAATGGAATGTATTCAGAATTCAGAACTTAAATTTGATCTAAATTCTATGATTCTGTGATTCTAAATACACAAAGAACAATGTTTTCCAAAAAGTAATATATATGTAACCTACAGTTTGATGCCTTGGATTATGTCAGTATTTCAGTACATTAGCATTTTTTACCTTGTCAGCCTCTCAAAATTAGTAATGCGTATGGAAAAACAGTGCTTCAAACTGAATTCCATGGTTTCTATCCAGTGATGTAACACATGCATTTCCAACTGATTATTTGCTGTGATTATCAATGTAAGATGTACATACTTTATTTTCTTTCCTGGTATCAATACTGGTGGCTTTTACTTACAATATTTTTCAGGTGTCCATTTGCAATTTTTGAATTTCTCAACGGAGACCATACATGACTACTTAGAAGTTAGGAGTGGATCTACAGAAACTAGCACGGTTATTGGGAGACTAAGTGGCCCTCAGCTCCCAGCCTCTCTGTTCAGCACAACTCATGAAACCAGCTTATACTTTCACAGTGATTACTCACAGAATAAACAAGGATTTCATATTGTATATCAAGGTGAGATTTGGATATTCTTGTGAGAACAATATGGCTGCTGAAGGTTTTATGGGCTTTTGGGGATTTTGTGTATTGTGTTCTGGAAGGATATGATCTAAATACTGTTTTAGAGTACTGGATTGATGTAGACTAGTGAAAATTAATACCAACCCAGAAATCTCCAAATCCGTTTCCTAGTTTGCAATTTCCCTGAAAGGTTCTTGTTCTGTTGCACCCAAGTAGGTCATGCTGAGCTCATGAAGACTGCAAGATCATAATTCTATTTATAGAGTTACATATTCATGTAAAAGGGATTAGATCACCACCGTTCACAGAAAAAGGTCAAATGTATATTTTAAACTAGACCTGCTCTCATTACTTGAATAACACCAAAGAAGGATTTAAAGAGTTTTTACGTTAGAGCAGTCTCCTATTACTGTTTTAATAGTAACAAGTCCAAATTGACTTGAACTCTGTAACATTCTGGAAGTGAGCCACTGTAAAAAGTATTAGCTTTTACAGATAAAGTCAATTTATGGCTTAAACTGCTAAGAAGGCCAGACTTAAGAGCTTATACTGTTACTACTATTAATAGTAATCATTTTGGAGATGCTGTTATTTGTCACAGAATGAAAAGTTCCTGTCTGTGTTTTAATCACATAAGAGAGAACTGCTTCTTTCAAACATATATAACCTCTGATATTCTGATACTGCAGACTGAGCACTGCTTATTTCTTCTCAGTTCTCTAATAAGATGCCAATGCTTCAAATCTTCTAGCTCAGTTTGGTATCTTCACATGACAAAAAGAAATGTTATTTAGTAGCACAGAAGCCTAGCTAGTTTCACTGTACCTACTCCAGGTGTAGGATCAATGATTTGATCATCACTGTTATGGAACTTTATACATATGGGATGTCCATGATTATTGAGTTTATTCTAATTAAAAGCTTTTATTTTTGAAGTAATTAGAATTTGTGGCTTACTTATTTTTTCCCCCATTTTTATTACTTATTTCAGCATATCAGCTGCAAAGCTGTCCTGATCCTCGACCATTTCGGAATGGTTTTGTTATTGGAAATGACTTCACTGTGGGACAGACTATTTCATTTGAATGTTTTCCTGGCTACACATTAATTGGAAATTCAGCTCTGACTTGTCTTCATGGAATCAGCCGCAACTGGAATCATCCTCTCCCCAGATGTGAAGGTGACCTATGACCTTCCTAAGGACTGTTAACTGAAGTAGTTTTCAGCTTTTCAATTTATAGGGACCTGTATTTTTTCACTGTGATCTTTGCCCAGGAGGTATTCGGTTTTGCACATTAAAATTTTAGCGGAGAAGCTGAAATGTTTCATGGAAATATGAAATCTCTGAAAACTTATCTGAGGTAATAAGTTTACATTTGGAAGGTTAGGCTTAAATCTGGAATGTGGAGACCCACGCTGCTTTTAATCTAGGTGATGCAACACAGTGAAAGATCTGGACTGAATCAGGAAAAAAAAGAATTCAAAAATTGAATTTACCAATTCTGTCCACTTATGTTCTCTCTTATCAGTTAGAAAGAAATGTCAAAGGTGGCATAAAGTGCAATTGTCCTCCAGTCAATGCTGTGTGAATTCCTTGTATATATATTTTTTCTGAATGGGATTTTATTTTAGATTACATTTTTTATCCTTTCAGATTTTCTTTTCATTATTATGCTTGCAACAGGTAAGCAGATTCAATGAACTATGACTTGCACATAGCTTACGTTTTAAGGAGACAGTATTAATGTATATGATGATTCTGTAGAAGTACTTATCTTATCCCTAGCTATGCTGAAAGGAATCTGTACCTAAGCAACAGGCTAAGGAAGGTCAGTCATGTTGTGTTGCTTTGTCACAGTTGTGGCAACATTTGGACACCAACATTAGATTCCTGAAAAAAAAACCCATAGACACAGCAAAGATACTTCATATTTAAAATTGTCATCCCAAAATCCTACGTTCCTGGGACTGTAAGGTCCAAACACCTTTAACAATTAAGTTATTGACTGTAAAGTTCTCTGTATACCTAAGCAAAGATGAAATCTGTACAAGATGTTAAGTGTCCACTTTCATATACCATAAGACCCTTCACTGTTTCAGGAGAGGTATTCAAGATCCCAGTTAAAGGCCTAATTTCTCTATATATTGAATAATAAAAGCTCAACATTAAGAATGGGATTGAGCATGTAGAAGAGAAAAACCTCGAAAGCCCACAACAACAACCTCCCCCCTAAAAAAACAAAACAAAATATCCCCCCTCCAAAAAAAAAAACCACAAAAATAAAACCCACAAAAAAAAAAAAAATCACCCTAACAGAAAATAAAAAGCTCCCCTATTTTCTGGATTTTTGAATTGTATTCTGAACTGTCTTCCCAAATTTAGGTACTTAAATGAAAAACCTGATTACCCCAAATTCCTTCTGGAGTCAGTGAGCCACAGGAAATTCTGGGGGAAGTGGTAACTAAATTAAGACCTAACTAATACTGAATTCAGAAAGGGAAGCCTCATCATATAGAAGAGAGATGACATCTACACTGTCTGGTTTTTGAAAGGGAAAGAAGTTAATTCATTTCAATTAAGTTTTAACACCCATTTTCTGGATCCTCTGGGAATAATAATAGTTCATGTCTTAACTGCTAAACACTTAGCTTTTCCCTATTACTTAGTTCTAACTGTATTTTCTGTGCCTCAGAATCAAAACAAATAATTTACTGAATAGAGTGATTCTGCTTCTTTGAACTACCTTAGTGGACCCAGGAATTTAATTAGTAAATTTGAAGATGTCCAAAGCACGTTGCTGTTCTGAGTATCAATTTTGATGAAATTCCTGAACAGTGGCTGGATGTTCTTGGTTTCTACCTAATGTCATATGAAAAGATGAAGATAAAAAAAATCAACCAAATTAATAATAGAGATCTAAAATATGTGTTGTGCTGCATGATTACAGACTGTCAACATTGCTCAGCTCCTAGAAAATTTTCTTACATTACACGGGGTTTTGTGCAGTTATTTACTGTGGTATTTTTAGTAAAGAGTTTGTAACAATCTGAATCAAATGTTACTAAACTTGCTTTCTGTTTAAACAGTTTTCTTCTCTTTTTGCATCCTCATGCACCTACTATTCCTTTAACCTGTGCTCAGCATCATCTAATACTCACTGACCCTTCTTAACTCATCTCCCTTGCTTTCATCTGTTTGGATTCTGTTCCTCTCCTTTTTCAAGAAATCTCTTTGCCTGACAATCATCAGACCATTTCTTCACTCCCCTAAGACCCAGCTGCAAAATCAATTCTGTCTGCACTGCTCAAACCCCTTTGAGACTTTGAAGCTAAAAGCTGAAGAAAAACAGTATACCAGCTGTTCGGTCTGAACAGATGAGGTGTGACTATGAAAGTCTCCTTAACCTACAATTCAACACCAAAGTGTATATATATATAAACCTTTACACATGCTTTAGCTAAATACAATGCCTATAATTCCTATACGTAAAACATATTTTAGGGAATCTGGGTCGCTGTGCGATGTGCATTTTGGGGTAGAGTGGGCAAAATAAATGTATGCAAATAAAGCAAATGATACAGTTTTAACCTTGCTCACTTTTCTGGAACTAGGATTCTATAACATAATTTCTCTTCTGTAATAACAGGGTGGTGTCATAGTCAACATCATCTGAAACCTCTGAGGAGAAAATCATGTAACTGGACTAAGGGTTTTCCAGAAGTGAAAATCCAGAATCTGTATGGTGATTCTTGCACTATATGGCATCTAAAATTAGTACAATTCAATCCAAATTACAGAGAGAACTCTTACTTTATCTATCAGAATTTGTTTCCATAAGTGCAAAATTGCTATTCATACTGCTGGACAATGTTTTTATTTTCAAATTCCCCTGTAATTTTCACCCACCCATCAACCAAACATATCCCTTCTCTCATGTGTTACTTTTGGTTGTCTATCTGACAACAAATGAAAGCAATTAATGGGATTCCCAACTAATTTGTAGCTAGCATTTATATAAAACCCTAACAAAATCATTTTCAGTTGCGCAGGAAATTTTACCCAATATCTAAATTTGGCTTTAGTTCCAGTTCTGATAGTATTTATAACATCAGAATTAATTTTTTTTTTTGCTTTCTAATTTTGACCAATAATGTCAAAATGGACTTCTGACTCTTGGCACAAAGCTCAATAACATCTGTTTCTTTACACATATGCAATGTAGTTATAGTGTACCAAATGTGTTTAACAGTATAGTTTTTACATAGTCTAATAACTCTAAAAGCATCTAATGTATTTTTTTTTTTTAAATTGTCTTTTTTATAGCTCTCTGTGGAGGAAATATAACTGCAATGAATGGCACCATATACTCTCCTGGATACCCTGATGAGTATCCAAACTTTCAAGATTGCTTCTGGCTTGTAAGAGTACCACCTGGGAATGGAATCTACATCAATTTCACAGTTCTTCAGACTGAGCCAATATATGATTTCATAACTGTCTGGTAAGGAAACAATGTTGGCATTTATTTAATCTTCATGTGACACTACACAACAAAGTATGAATTTAAAAGAGTATATTTGTGGGTTTACCCTTGAAACTGGTGTTCTCTGTAGGCCAAATGAGTGAGTTGTACCAATCCATGTTTTCCAATGGACCATTCTCTCTAGATAGCACTGGACAAGAATTCAAAATCAATAATAGTGTTCCTCAGTTTGTCGACAAGAGCATACAGAGACATGCTATGACTGCTCATCAACAACCAAGAGAAATAATGCTTAAGGAGTGATAAGAAGAGTTTACAGATATGTGTGTTAGTAGTTTAGAGGGTTAGTACTAGAAAATATGGCAATACTTTCTTAATTTCTTCCAAGTTGGCTCTTTTTACTTTTAAGAGTACATAAAAGGAGAGACTCTATTTGTATCTAACCATGACAAAAGGAGTTGAGCCAACAGTAACCGTAAGCAAATTATATTCTCTATATACCTGAATCCATGTCTATCATGACTCTGCATGATAACCTATCACCCCCATCAGCAACTTATCACATTAATCTATCCACCATGTATCTCAAGACATTTCATAGTGGCGGTCTGAAAAATAAAAACTAGACACGATTCCAGTATGGGGGAACTGGAATAGTTTATTGAACACGAGAACACGATTTTAAAGGTATCTGAGGTTGGACATGTTAATGAAGGGGATGAGTTATGTTAATTATGGAATTACACAAGTTTTTACTGCAATTTCTAAATAGTTAATTTTTCTTCTAGTAGGATTACATGGGGGATAGAGGGATTACAGGGATTTAGACACAGTTTTAACAATCATCCTAAAAAGTCCTTTCTTAATTCTTCTTGGAGCCAGGTTTATATCTCCGGTTTGCACATCAACAGGACTCTGGACAAGGGTCCAAACTTCTCGAATCACGAGATGTTTGTCAGCCTTGTTTTCCTTTGCTGAAAGCTGGGTTTGGGCTCCCACATTTCATGGCTTTAGGCCTCATTTCTATACATGTGCAAAGATTGTATTATATACATGATGGCTACAGAATTATATAGTTTATGCCACTTCTGGGATTATAATTGTTTACAGAATTGATCAAACTTTTTACAGAAGTTTCCAATGGAAAAAAAAATGCATTTTATTCCCAATTCAAATGTTTCAAAGCATATAATTTCTCTGATAAAACAGAGGGGGAAGAGTCAATGTGTCAGATTTGGACAAACATACTACTACAAAATTTTCAAAATAAAAAATATCCATAGTTTATTATATATTGCATTTTTTCAATTAAATATTATATATTTTCAGTTAAAATAACAGTTGAAAAAATTAACTTTAAACCTCTATTATTTAATGTTTGTCAATTCTGATCCAAAAGGAAGCAAATATGAACATTTAATGCCCTTGTAGTCTGATTCTGTCCTCTGTACGGTTCCACTGTTGTTAAGTACTAACTTTGATTTAATTTTTCTACTGAAATTAGAAATTTCTACTGAAATTCTTTTTTCCATAACATAGCAATGATCTTACCAGCAGTACATATTTTCTCTAAATCTTAATAAATAGTGCAAAATAATATCAGTAAATGCATGTGAAGAAGATTTTACGTATTAGGTTTATTTATTTTCTAATAGACACATTTGAAAGTATAAATACACAAACGTAATCAGAGGTTGTAGCAAGAAGATGAAGAACAATTACAAATTCGATAATTTTTAATTTGCTTCGATTTTTACTTGAAAATAAGAAAATTACTTTCAAAAGGTGGTTGAACTAAGATCCAATCTACACAGGATTTGAAAAGGCCTACAACACTTCACATCTATTTTATCTTATTTTAGTTGTCTTGTACCTTTTAGAGTAATCTAGAACAAAATTACTGTAATCATTTAAAAATTAGAGAAATTATATTATTTGGTTGGGAAAAAAAAATATTTCTGTGTTTGTTTTTTATTAGGGATGGACCAGATCAAACTTCTCCTCAAATTGGACAGTTTAGTGGCAACACTGCCTTAGAATCAGTCTATAGCACTTCCAATCAGATTCTGATCAAGTTTCACAGTGACTTTACTACCAGTGGCTTCTTTGTACTCAGTTATCATGGTAAGTGTGACAAATTTCTCTATTTCATTATCTGCACTGGTCACTGCAGGCAGACAACTCATGAGAAAATAAATTACTTTTCCTAAGAAGAGTTGCTATCATTAGTATGACTGACCTGCACTAGGGTAATGTAAACATATGAAGGAATAATATGAATGATGAAAATAAGCTATTTTCTTGAGCAAATATTAAATTTACTAGTAGTCAAGCAAAACAACAACAACAACAAAAAGAATCCACTCTGATGAGACAGGAGTAAAGAATGTAGCATCAAGACCCTAAAACTCAAGGTGCACATCTTACTGCTTACAATGCTTCTAAACTTCCTTTGAAATCTGAATGTTTTTGGAGGACATTAAATTTTTCTTAGATATTGGGATATTTTGCAGAAAGCACTTTTTTGTAGAGATACCAATGATAGTGAACTATACTGTGTAGTTAACATTAATCTACCTTGGAATTAACTACTGACTGAATTAAAATGGGTAAAAATAAATGTACCAAATTCTATGTCTTTTCGTAATCATTCAAACCCTCTGTGACCAAGTGTGTTTTGCATTCCTATAATTACAAGGAAACAGATCCATAAGTAAGGGTGCTTTTAGGTGCTTCGTGAATGCCTTTTGGAATGACTATTCTAGAAAACATTGACAATCTCTTTTCTGGATCCTGATCAAATGTTGGGACTAGAAGACTTTCCTTTTGGCTTAGTAGAGACATGGTTAATATAGATAGACAGAATTGAGGAGTAGAGGAACCATAATCTAAAAAAAACAAAGCAAAACAAAAATTACCTGTTACGGTTTGAAACTGGCTCCCTGCCAAGTCTTCAAACTTTACCACAAGAGTTCCCCCCCCCCCACTAACCTCAGGGAGAAGAGGGAGAAAAACAACCAAGAAAACCCGAAACGAGAGAGAGAGCTAAAGCAATATATATAAATGTATTTACACCTATATTACAGTTATATGCAATTGAAATATATATACTGTTTCACAGGGGAAAGGGAAGGGGGAAGGGAAAGGGAACAAAACTAAAATAAAATATATATATATCCCAATCAGTAGCCTGAGATCTAGTAACTAAAGAGTTAGCAAAGAAATATCCCACCACTCTCCTTGGGACAACCAAGAGTCGCTCTGGGATGATCGCCAGCAACCTCCACCTCCCAAGGTCGACAAGGCCTTACCAGGCCTCGCTCCCCAACATGACAGACTCAACAGCAGGGAACCTGCACCTCCGAGCCGCCGGAAGGAAAGAGAACAAAGGCCTTCCCTTCTTTCTTCTTATAGTCTGGTTTACGTAAAAATCATAGGGAATACTGGGTAAATCTAGACCCTCCCTTGGTTACAAACTGGTCACCAAGGAAGGCCTAGCCAAAATCACCACATTACCTAAAACTCACAGTGGATAAAAAACCACCATCAACAGCACTTGAATTGATTGCAGGATATAGACTCCAGTAGGGCTAGGTAGAGAGGGCTAAAAATTTCTATTCCGAATCTTGGCATCTAAGTTGAATGTATCAGCTTGTGAAGGACAAAAATGACACTTCGTATTCATTACTATATAAATTGATATTTATTGATATCTACTAATATATTGGGTTTTGACCAAAAATATGTAAAAACACTCATGGAACCATAGAATAGTTCAGGTTGGAAAAGAACTTTAAGATCATTGAGTCCAACTGTAGACCCAACACTGCTAAGTCCACTACTAAACCAGGTCCACAAGTGCCAAATCTACACGTCTTGTAATTACCTCCAGAGACTGTAACTTCACCACTTCCCTGGGCAACCTGTTCCAATGCTTTGCAACCACTTTGATCAATAAATTTTTCATCATATCCAATATAAACCTCACGTGGAGCAACTCAAGGCTGTTTCTTCTGGTCTAATCACTTGCTAGTAGTAAAGTGTCTCTAAGGAGCTTATGTTCTTTCACCTGTTTCTTTTGCTGTGAAAATTATCATTCCACAGATGTGGGCCCTAATGTGTAGTAAAGATGCAAACTGAACAGCACTAAGATTACTCATGAAGAAACTTAAAACAATCTTTGGATTGATGTTGTCAAGATGATAAAAATCTCTCAGTATCTTGGAGGCTATGATCCTTCATATCAGCTATACAAAATTTATAGCAGTAAAGGAAACACAATGAGAGGAGTCAAATCTATTTAAAACAGATAATTTAGGGATTAAAATTAATGATACTCTTGATACCCTCAAATGAGAGATATTTGAGATAAATTATACAATTTTTTTTATTGAATCAATTTTTAATTATATTGTGATTCCTATTATTAGTTTTCTTAGGATGCAAATAGCACAGTTGTTTCATGTTTACTTGGTATGTTTTACTTTAAATTGCTTTATCCTAATGTTAGCTTTATGACTCACTGATTTCAGTAGATCTTCATTATATGATCAACAAAAAGAAGTATAATAGGAAGATATCAAATATGGGTGACTCAATAGTAACAAAAGGTCTTACCTGTTACAGTATAAATTTCATGACTGACAAAAGTTTGGCAATTAGATTACTGCAGGATCTAATCACAGGAAGTAACCGAAAATATGTATTACTGAAGCTGAACTGTCATCTGCCATAAGTAGATGATGTTTCAGTGTTAAAGGGAAATGCTATAAAAACAATGCTATATGAAAATGTACTATCAGTGAAAACCAAGCATAATTCATCCTGACTGTACACTTTAAAACAGGGAAGACTATACTATTGGTATAAATATGTCAATGTAATTTCTTTGGCAGGATTTCTGTCCTAATTGCATTAAGATTAAACGGAATTTTGTCTGTGTCCAGATATGTATAAGGACATACAGTCTCTGAAAAAAAAGTCTGTATAGCTTCTGCATACTCTTCCTACTTATGTTTTTATTTGTTTCACCTAATTATTTTGCCTGGCTGCTGCATCATGTTTTAAATCATAGAAAATTATTTCACGTGAGACTTCAAATGAGAATTTTGAAAGCTGCATTATTCTCTTACCCTATCTACAGGTGCGGTGTGCTCCATAACTATTCATTTACTGGGAAATTTCACATTCAAAATACTTCTGTCCATTAGTTATTCTACCTCTGAGTAGAGTCTTTGGGATTCCAAAACTTGTATTTATTACAGAAGAGTCCAAGAGTAAAATTGTATTGTAAAAAAAAAGAACCCAAACCAAGCAAAACAATAGTTTCACAATACAAAAATATTTTTTTTTTTGTGTGAGATCACTTAAGTGAGAAAATTGGTAACCAATTCTAGGTTTCTTAGGTTATTTATGAGGGTTTTGCAACTAAAATAAATAACTAATCAAGAACACAGACACAACTTCTGATGTTTTCATTTCCTTTCTTTTGATTTTCCTGAAAGTTTCAAAATACATTAATAGAGTTTTCACTTTTATCCTGTTAATATGGGTATTAAATCAGTTAAGTTTGCATGGCTCTGTTAACTGTGTTTGAGAATGTCAGCTGTGCTTTGTTCCTGTTTATAGCCTATCAGCTCCGGGTCTGCCAGCCTCCAGCAAATATACCAAATGCAGAAATTCTAACTGAGGATGATGAATTCGAAATAGGTAATATAACAGAAAATGAAAAAACATTTGTTTCAAAAATAAGCTTACTGTGCATGGGATGCTTTTCAGGATGAAAATCATACCTATAATACATTAGATTTTTATTTGAAAATACATTTTTTAAGAAGTCATTGCTCTTCCCTATACCTCCTGAATCCCATTCAGACATTACATATAATACAGTAACTCTTTGTAATTGACTTCATTTTAAAATACATTTTTCATACTCTCTAATATAGAACATTGTATTACACTGAAACAAACAAACAAAACCCATAAGAAAACATGTAGAAAATGGTATATTCTGTACCAGAATTAAGGTCATTTGACCTTAAGAGTAAAATCAAATTTGTGAAAATTATGAGGATCAGAGAAGGGGATGACATTCTGACCTTCTGAGATGTGTAATAATATTACTTAACCACCTACAATTAAAAATAAATTGATTTATATGATCAGATGCCTGATCATATAAATTTCTTTCATATGTCAGATGTCTGAACAGTTAGTTTTGCTCATATGATGGCAAAGAAAAATAAATTTGTTTTTAGTCCATATCAAGATTTGATTAGTTATATAAGTAACAAAGAGAAAACATTTTTTTCCCCTTTCTTCTCTGTAATCTGGACCAAAGAGAACTAACTTCTGGGATACAAAAATTTCACTTTTATTGGTATATAAAACCATATCAATTATTTATTTCTTAATTTAAAAATGAAAGTTTCTTATTCTCACCATGCCAAATTTAGATATCATCAACAAAATCTAGTTCTTATTTAATTTTTTCACCCCTCAGGATTGTATGAGTTACTGACTTGATCTAATACCTTTAGTTCCATAATGGTTATCGTATAAATTATATTGCTTAAAGCTCTGTGGACATGTTCACACAGCATCAGTCAAACCTAGACAAATTAGCAAACTATCCAACAAATAATGTGGTGAAAAACAGTGATAGATGCAACACAGTGTGCAACACAAAGCTCATTTACCACATTTCTTAGACTAATCAAAGTTGTTTATGCCAGAGGTCATTTAGCCCATTTTATGTGGTGGCAAGAAACTTCATTAATCAATAATGTTTTCAAAGCTAAAAGTCTCAGTTAATTGCTGTTTAATGTTTCTTTTGTTTGTTTGTGTTTTGTCGTGTTTTGTTTTTCCAAACAGGAGACATAATAAGATACCAGTGTCAACCAGGCTTTACATTGGTTGGTAATGAGATTCTGACATGCCGACTGGGTGAAAGACTTCAGATGGATGGAGCACCACCTTCTTGTCAAGGTTTTTTCTCCTTTTTATTTTCCTGCTGCCAGTCCAGCTGAATGGTGATTCCTCACATACCCTCCGCTATCTCTTTACATAAAACGGCATACTGAAACTATTTCAGATTTTTTATGCTATTCCCAGTATATCGTTGTTGTGTTTCATATATGTCAGATATTAATGCAAGATAATTAGTAATCTTTTAGTGAATTTCACGAGTTTAAAGGACTGCTGTTCTACTTTGTGAAGTATTGAAAACTGCAAATACAGATATAATACCATCTCATTGTTAAAGTCAAAACAAGATTACAGTCCTGCCAACCACTAACATCGCAGTTTAAACTAGTCTTTATTAAGCTGAAAGTTGATGTGTTACCCTCTAATATAATTTTTCCATAATTTTAAAGAAAATGTGAGGGTTTTCTTTCATATTGAACTGATGAAGAAGCTAATGAAGATAAGCCTTGCACATGCTCTATTAAAAGACTGGAATCTCTTTGAAGTTCCGGTGATGGGTATGTGTTTATGTTTTCTTACTAATTTTTCCATTTATTTCCAGAAAGATGAATAAGGACTTTCAGTTATAAACATGTATGATAAAGTCTTTTCTAGAAAAAAAGAGCAAAACAGAACACCATAGCCTCCTAAAAGAATAAGTTATGTAAACAACAGTCATTTTGGATTCTACTGGTTGCTGTAATATTCCTTTGTGATCCTTCTACTCTTGAGCTTAATATTCTAACATCTACTGCAGAATTAAAATACTTTCTCAAATCAGTCATAATAAATACATTTGATTTACATTTGTATTATATGAAAAATACTACTTTCTGTTTTTTCTACCAATCTGATATTTTGGTGCTCCTTCCCCAGTAATTTTAATTCACTGATGTTGAAAGATTTATTTGGCAATAGTAAAATAACTGGTAATAAATCTACTACTTTTAAAAGTTAAGCTTTAATATCTGACTGTTTATTAGAAGTTGGAGAAGTTTCAAACTGGTGCATAGTATAGATGTTAGGAAATTCAACATCAGTATATTAATTTTTAGAACTTAATTATCTCTATAATCTCTACCTAGGTTTTAGATGAGAATTAAAAAAATACTGTCTTATAAATATATCCTTTTCCTGCACTCCCAAGAAAAAAGAAGGGTCTACTATTACAGCTGAATAAACTATTTTCTTCTGGTTTTATGCACAAAACTATGCTAAAGTCAAACTCATTCATAGCAGTCTAGCTCTTTTAAGAGTCTAACTCTTTTAAGAGTCTAGCTCTTAAAAATGCAAAGTGATCCTGAAATGTGAGCTTCATAAGAACTTTAACACTGATAATTTCTGAAAATTCATACATTTATTTGGGCACAATTACTTCTAGAAATAGCCTCCAACACCCCAATTTAAATTTAAGTCCTAACTTGGCAGACTCTTAGAATTTAATAGGTGGAAAACCATTAAATAACCTCCAGGCATGGCTTTAGCTGTTAAAATGATGTAAAATTAGATAGGGCAAATAGAGACATATGTGCTAATCCTGAGGCATTCTGTCAGCATGTGTTGCTGAAGGCATATTTGTATTCAATGCAAGACCAAAGACAAAATCTCAGGAATGATGACTTCAGTTACCACAGTTAATCTTTTAACTGTGAGATATAAATGCTAAATGTTGGATCCAATACTGAATATTAAGTCAGTTCTTTTGTAATTTCTGTTTAAAGCAGAGTGAACTGAATGTAGTTTTTAGGGTTAGATCCAGAGAATCAAAAAGAAAAATGCAAAAGAATTTTTTCAATTGTGTTAAAAATGACCAAATTTGACACGTAGAATAAGCAGCAGCATAATTATAATTTGTATTTTTTTATATAATATCCAAGTTTGAAGATCACAATATATAAGTAAAATTTCAATGATGACTGGAAAAAAATAACTTTTTGGAATCTAGAGGCAGCAAAATTACATGCCTAACATTTCTGTTTTTCATGATTTTAGTATATCACACTGATCTATGGATAAGCCACCATACTTTAATTGTGAAGGCTATAGCAATCACTCTCTAGATAAAAACACAGTTCTTCTGTTTGTTCTTAAATGATTTACTAATTCTTTTCACCAGGTAGGGTGGAGGTTTGTTGTTAGATTTTATTGTGTCAATTCCTGTTGCCTGAACTTTGTACATATGTTGTATGCTTTAGCTGGTGTAAAATGACTTTAGGTTGAATTTTTCTTTAATTTTTAACTTAAAATAAATTGATCAGTTGGATGATAATTTCTTAAAATTTTTGAAGATTTCCTTCTTTAGATGAGAAAATAATCACTAAATTACACAAGCTTATGCCAATGGCTGTCATTTTATTTTTTTAAAGTAGAGTATTTTCCATATACAACATGTAACTTTGTCCTTAATTTTGGTTTAAATTATTTTCTACTTTCGGGATAAATAAAAACTTCACAGTAAGAAGATCCAAACTGTATTTTGCATCATAATTAAGGGACCCTGAGAAAATTCTTGAGTGATGTCTTTTTTCTATATCTCGGATACGTTTTCTCTGAATCATAAAATACTTTGCTACTTGACTCCCAAGGAAATCTATATTACAGAAATAGGTCTTTAAACCATCTATAAAATTCCTGAGGGAAGTTTAGCTGAAGATCCCTAAATTAAGGACAATTTGCAAAGCAGAATAATATGGAGGCGGCAAAACTAGCTGCAAATAAACAAGTGCAACCAGATTACTATTATGCTCTTTCTGCCATACATTTTTGTTTATATATAATTTATATATATGTACATATATGTAGTATAAAACTGAGTGGATCAGTTCATTCGTTTGCTTGAGCTTTGTGTCACAACTGGCACAGCACTGTAGTTTGACCGATTCCAACCATATGAGTTTTCTCAGGTGGCATGGAAGCGTTTTATTCAATCTCTTCTTGAAAACAAACACAGAATATGAGAAACAACTTCTTAAATTTAGCAATTAGATGCTAATTTGCAAGTGAGAGATTAATATTTTTAAAATATATTGGTAGATTCCTTTCTCTTTTTCAAGTGTGGGTTGGATGGACTTGCAGGGGGTTGTACTAAATGACCTTCAAATGTCACTTTCAATCAAAACATTCTATGATTCTTATGATTTTTTTTATGGAGACAATTATTCTTTTTCTCTCTCATCTCTGCTGTTCTGTGTTCTTTATCTCTCTTCATAGTCCAATAACTTTTTCTACGTAAAACCTGATTTTTGTATTTAATAAGCCAATATTATTTTCAGTGTTCTTGAGAAACCTAAGATCCTATTATTTTTCTTACGTAACTTTTAATAACTCAGGACTAACTAATTTTTTTGTAAGAGTTAGTTGTCAATATAAAACCAGATTTTAAAACTCCTGTTTAGCAGTATTCAGTTCTGAATATACTGTAGGCACTTGTTCCTATATCATGAAACAAAACCGGTTTTTGAAAAAAGTTCTGATAACATGGTAATATAAACTATTTCTATTTACTGAGATTTTTATTTTATGTAGACCTAATGAATCCAGATAATTCAAAATTAAACCCCTGCATCATATTTTTAAACACCATTCTGCTCAATTTATGTAAAAATAATGAGTAATTAAGTTCTTTTGAACTCAGAAAAATCTTGACAATCCCATGAAACAGAAATAGTGGGCTCGAGATTTTTTTAGCAATCTTTGTGTTTCACAGTGCTCTGCCCAGCCAATGAAATGCGTCTGGATTCAACAGGAGTAATACTGAGCCCTGGATATCCTGACAGCTACCCCAATCTCCAGATGTGTGCATGGACCATTACCGTGGAAAAAGGCTATAATATCAGCATGTTCTTTGAATTCTTCCAGACAGAAAAGGAATTTGATATACTTGAGGTGTTTGATGGTAACTATAGGATGCATAACTTTGGATTATACTTTTTTCTATATAATTGTATTTTTATATTGCATCTGGGTAATCACTACTGTTTATGTACATCATAACTTTTCAGTATAAAAAATCTTTAAAAAACAATTATTTTGATTCATTGTGCTAAAAAGAATTGTTGGATTACTGTCTTTTGAAATTGTACTGCATAAATTATGTTTAGAAATAAATTTTCTTTTGAGCAAATATATACTGTCTAGCATATAACATGTAATGTCAACTTCTATTTTTAATTCAAGTTAATTTGCCATTTGCTTGAAGGAGGCTTTATACATATATATAGTTATGTGCACATAATTTATTGTATGTTATTTTAAACTTTGTAACTCCTTTTTTCTTTTTTTTTTCCCTTCCTTTGTACCAAGGACCAAATAGTCATAGCCCATTGCTCATATCTCTCAGTGGGGACTATTCATCTTCTCTAAATATAACCAGTAATGGTCATGAAGTATTTCTCCGTTGGTCAGCAGATCATGGCACCAATAAAAAAGGTTTCAGGATAAGATATATAGGTATGTGACTCTCTACAGTGTGTATAAAATTTCAATACGGAATGTTTATGTATGTTAAAATGGTAATATAAGCTGTGTTTTGTATCTTTAATTAACCAAAATGAAAGGAAATCCAATCTGTTCTATCTATGAACCTGATGATATTGATCTTGGGAGGAAAAAATACCTCACACATGTGCTCTGTAGAGATTTAAGAAAATACTTCACAGGGCTTTCAAATGGCATAAACCAGCACTAAAGATGAAAGAAGCTTTCCTCTTCTCTCTCCCAGCATTTATTTGCACATGTGTACCTCCTGGGGTGTATTCCAAACTGGATCTTTATGCAATTCATTATTAACAATTTTGGTGGGACAAAGAAAGACATAGAAACAAGGCAGGAGTGAGCTGCTATAAAGAGGAAAAATATGAAACCCTGGGGGATTGAACTCTTTAATTTCAGGTTCAACAGAAGCAGCAAACAGTATTAGAAGAGGTCAATTAGTATGTAAAAAATGCCAGTATTGTATGTGTTATTGATTCAAACTAACATAATGATGAATAGTGTGCAAAAATGGTACTTGACAATGATAGAATTTTGTATAATTTCTTTTAAAGAATTAATATATAATAAGAATTTCACTGGAAAATTATATTAGTTAATCGAGCTAAAGTAGACCTGTTGCAATTTGCAGCAATTACACAAAATCTATATTTGATTTTTTTATGATGACCAAAGATATGAAATATACAGAATGAAAAGTACTGTGCATAGTATCTGTAGATATTAGAGAACTTATTGACATAAAGCAATTTTGCTTTACAAAGTGAAGAAAGAAATAGAGAATAAATATAAAATTCTTTCTGCTGTTTTTTTTTGGTTTTCCTCACTCAATTTTTGGCTCCTCCACAACTGCAATTATGACACTAAAAATAATTAGGCTCATAATATTCAGTGAAACAACATCAGTGTCATCTTTCCCTTTAGGAGAGGATAGTTTTCTCAGACTTAAAATGTTTGTTGTTAACTAGATAACGTTCACTGTTGACTAGACACAAAATATTGTATGGTACCTATTTTCATTTCCTATAGTACCTCTTAGATCTGTTAAAAGAGAAAGAAGAAGAAATTCTTCTCTTTCCCTACAAGTAGTGAGAGAACTATTGAGAGGTAGAAGGAATATTTAATTGTGATCTGTATCTCTCAGAAAATACCAGTGTATTTTCTTATACACTAAGTAGAGCTGTCTGTATCTCTGATTCTTCCAAGAGTGTAAGGCAGGAGAAATTTAGTGTAAGGAAGAAAATATTTTCATAGTATGTACTCTGAAAGATATGGCAGTGCTTCTCATTTTGTTCTTTGCTTTAATATGTTTAACATATTTTTGTTGTAAACAAACTCTATTCTGTGTAGTGGAAGCTTTCACCAGAGAAAAACATTGACCTGAAGTAACTCATGGAACATGGAAAGGCTTAAAAAGCAAGTGAAGCAGCACTTCTCTATTTGCCTGAGAAAACAAATGCCTATAGTTATAAACATTCTTCAAAGCCTAAATGAAGCACTTGGAACTTCCAGCATAATTGTCTTTCGTACAAAAAAGGAAATTGGTCATCTTGGCTAGCAGCCTTGAATTAAACCAATTAGAAACCAAGTTAAACTCTTACACAAACAACATTTATCTTAAACTAGTTACCAGGTTACAAGAGCCTTCTGGTCCATAGCCAAACCCAAGGGACTTGGTACTCATGGATTTAATAAACAAGGGAGTGAAAGGAAATATAATAAACAAGTAGTATTTAACGTCAGAGAGTCTTGAAGTACATAAATAATTTCAGATTATGGCAATTGTATCTATCTGAGATAACTTTTGCTCTCATAAAGATTTCTGATTTTTTTCATAGTCTCTAGATAAGACTTCCGTAGGACTTAATGTGTTCTAAATAAATCAACAACAACTAGAAGCAGATTTGGTATTTTTGCCATGGATTTATGGTGGCACTAATATGTATGGTTAAAATCTATATTAAATGTTTTGCTTTCCTTCAGTTCATTCTATCACAGAACTTGAAAGAAATAATTTATTTAGGACCAGAAAGAAAAGATTATTTGAAAAGAGTTATGTGCAGGATGCACTAGATGTTTCCTTCTTTCAAAAATTTGTATACTACTGAAACGTATACAATTGCAATAAATTTCATCATAAACTAAAATTCTGTAGCTTACTTGATTTAAAAAGAAGATGGTGAAAAAATAAAACAGAACAAACCCCAAAATAATAGCCAGTTATAAAAGTGAGCTATCACTCTATTTCTTTGGAGGCTACTGACACCCGAAGCTTATAAAGAGCTTAAAACGGTTTATTTTTCACCTCTCTATTTCATCATATTGTTTGGTGCATGCATGATCAGGACACAAAATAAAACTTTTAGTGGTGGTTTCTCAGCTTCTTATCAGATGTCCACTGAATTCAACCAGAATTTTTCAAGAATTATCATCTGAATTTTAAATGCATATTTTATTTATTTGATATTTATGTTTAAAGCTCTCTACTGTAGTACTCCAGAGTCCCCTCCACATGGTTTCATTGTCAGTCAGACAGGTGGACAGCTCAACAGTATGGTTCGCTGGGCTTGCGATCGAGGGTTTCGGCTCATTGGGAAAAGTACTGCTGTATGCAGGAAGTCTCCATATGGTTATTACTCGTGGGATGTTCCAGTCCCAGCTTGTCAAGGTAAATTCTTTCATTTTAAAAAAAAATACTCTAAGAAACTTCCCTTTTCCTTTTCTAAGTTTTCTGACTTAAAATGAATAACAGTTAAACATTTCATGGTCATATTTCTGTACCAAAATTTTTCTACCTTATAAAACTTATAAAAACAAATGTGTTTTTAAGAGCCAGTATTTCAAGAGAATTTGCTAAGACTGGCAGATACTAAAAATAATCTATCTCACTGTGAGGGAACTTTCCCCCCAACACACATTTAAAATATGAAATTATTCAAAAAGTTAATTTAAAACTGAATATATTTAAAGTTCATTTATTGTGATTCAAGAATTACATTAAAAATAATAACAAAGAAAGACCTGAAACTTGCTACATTTCCAAGAACAGGAAACTGGACCAAGTTTTGCCTATGATGCAATATTTTGCCTATGATGCCATTCTAATATTTTGTGGTTTAAATTGAAATTTAAAAGATAATTAATCAGGTTAGCCATATATTTAATTTCTTCTGTCTTATAAAAAACCAAACATATTCTATCTAACAAGGAAAAGGAAATTATTATTTAATACCCATAACAATTGTATACTAATTCTTCCTTTCCTGAAAAGAATGCTGTTGTTCTGATAATTTGCCTGTGTCTCTATTCAGTGAACTATTAGAATGACTTTTTTTCATGAAAATTTGCAGATGTGCTTATTCAAAATGTATGCATTTTGTTCCAAGATAAATGCTATCAGAATGCTCCATGTTAATTTCCCCACAAGGTTTGTTTTTTGACAAAAAGTCTTTGAACTGTATGTTTCTAAAGCAAAAGAAAAAAAAGTTTGATAAACTTCTTACTGTATGTGCCTATATTTTTTAAAAAGCTGAAAGTCCTCAAAAGAAAAATGCAGTCATGCATTTGCTACATATAATTCTTTGTCTTTTTCACCAAAGGACTGCCATTACACTTATTTGCAGAACTTGGTGAAACTCATAATTAGATATATAACATAATGTGGAAAAAAACCTCAAAACACCAAACCAACAAACAAACCCAACTCACCAAATTCAAATACCAGATGATTATTCTCAACATACTGAGTATAGTTCAGTAAGGGAAATAGTTGCAATACTCAGGTAACACTTTAGGAACAAGTGAAGTTAAACACTTAGTAATTTCATGATGTCTGATCAAGCACAAAGACTGTTGGTATACTGGAAATTATTTAAAGTATTTATTAATTGAATAACAGTTAATTATAATTATGGGGCTAGATTTCATATGTGATATGAACTTTATTTGATTCTTCCTGCAAGACCTTGTGCTGGAAAGTGGTTTCTGGCCATGACATGTAGCTGCAACTCACAACAGCAAACCCTTTGGATTCAACCTGAAGACACATTACTGCAAAACACTACAGGAATAAACTGTTTCCATACATCAGTTATATATCTAAGCTTCCTATTGTTTTGCTGTAGTTAAAATTATTCCACTGTGACGGGTTGACCTTGGCTGGATGCTAGGTGCCCACCCAGCCATTCTATCACTTCCCTTCCCAGCCGGACAGGGGAGACAGTAAGATGGAAAACAACTTGTGGGTACAAATAAGGCAGATTATTAAAGCAGAAGCCGGGTGAAAGCTTGTGTGCACAAAAGCGAAGTGAAAGATAACACGGTTTATTTCCCATCAGCAGTGATGGTCAGCCACTCCCAAGAAGCAGAGCTTCAACATGTGTAATGGTTCCCTAGCAGACAGCCACTGGACACAATGAATGCCTGCCTTCCTGCTCCCTGCCTTAGCTTTTATATCTGAGCTGACGTCATATGGCATGGAGTATCCCTTTGGTTAGTTTGGGTCAGCTGTCCTGGTTGTGTCCCCTCCCAGGATCTTGCCCTCAATTGAGGAAGGAATGTTACAGTGCTGATGCTGTGCTCAGCAGTAACCAAAACACCAGTGTGTTATCAACACCCTTCTAGCTGCCAATGCAAAGCACAGCACTGGGAGGGCTACTGTGGGGAATGAACTCCAGCTCAGCCAGACCCAGTACACCCACCTGTCCAGATGATACAGAAGGTTCACGCTCTTGTATCAAAAGACTCAGAACACCATCGGTAGATATCGTTCATGTTCTTTCACAGAGAACACTTACAAGGCATGAGCTTTGCCATTACCCCTACTGCTGAACAGTACAGCTTCACCACAAATTCTAACTCTTTAAAGTGTGGGCTAGCAGGTTTTAGAAATTCATGATATTGAGTATGAACCACTTGTTTTAACAAGTATCATAATTGTCAGTCACAATTTGTCAACAATTTTTCCAGGTGATAGCAGATGACAATGTCACAGTCCTAACTTCTACTTCCCATTCTCTATCATTTATAGCATAAATTTCAAAGCCATTTTAATCAGTCCTTTCACACATCTGAATGTAGAATTGCCACAAATGACCATTTAACACAGATAAGAAAAAGTATTAGACTTTCTTTTTTTACATAGTATTGCAAGTTAAAAAAAAATATATTTGCAATTTTGCAGCTTCTTTCAAAGCAACATGTCATTTTAATCTATTTTTTTTCTGTTTCCAAAATTAAGATTGCCAGTCAAATCACAGTAGTAGTAATAGTAATGACAACTATTTCCTATAAGATATCTCAGACCTCAAAAGTATATATTTTTTAGTGATACCTCTACAATCTGCACAGCTAGTGGATTTTGTTGCTTTGTTGAGTTTTTATAGCAATACTAATTGCATTACCTGGCAAGCATTTCTACTTCCTTCAGAATATTTCATGATTTTCTAAACTAATTCTTTGTCTTTACATTTTTCATTCTGTATCTTTACTATTCTTGAGAATTATCTTCTGTAATTAATGAACGTCAATAGCCTTTTTCACTACAACTTTTTTTTCCAAGTTAATGGGTAACATTAGAGCAATTTTTAATGTTCTCATTCTTATACCTATATGACTAGAAATCTTGATCTCTGAACCTCTAAATAGATAATACCAGCCATTCTTCATATCACTTGCACTACAGGACTGGGAGAACCTGAAACATCCAGACAATGTTTAACCTTGGATGAGTTTTTTTACATTATTTTTAAAAATAAATAAATCTCAGTGGAAGAGACTAAATGCATAGTAGTAAGGAATCAAAGAGAAATACCTCAAACCAGACTTCAGCAATTAACTGAAACCTGTTTCAAAGTTAATACAAAAGGACCCTTTATCTGAAAAAGGTCTTCAAAATCTAATATTATATCATATAATAGTAAAAATAATACAAATTATTTATCAACTTTAATGTTCTAACTTTTAGATATTAACTATTCTGTTTATATAGGCATCCATTAAATGAACTATGATGTGAAATTGTTGTTACCTATGTATCCATCTCAGATTAATAATATTAGGTCAATAAAAGTTTCCCATGGTAAATTATAAGGTCTGATCATGACAAACTTTTGAAAGAATTAACAGATTTGCACTAGTCTATCTGAGTACAGGAATTAACATGAATTCGTATAAGTGGTTGAATATTTATAACTGATCATAGATCTCAGAAGATTCAAAGTGTTTTAAAGCATTTGGTTTTCTTTCAGTTATTTTTTACATTTTCATTTTTATCCCAGAACTATATGATTCTTGTTTTTTAATTATGAAATATTTCTTTTGCAAATAAATATTGTCTCACACAGGTCTCATCGGAAATCATTATTAGTACTTTATAATATCATATATGGATAGTGGGAAAATGCTTATACAGGAATTTTAGGTAGAGATTTTAAGTAAGTGAAGTGTAAAGCTCGACATTATATCCAGAAAAGTTTTCTACCTCAGTAATCTAAATTGTCCACAAGAGCAGACATATTGTTGTGTAAATGGTGATTGTTATGCAAGCTATACTAAAGTATTAAAAAAATTAAAGATAAATAAATGAATAATTAAATAGAATTCCAAGAATATATGCTTAGATATGGTACATGATGAGTTATGCTTTCTTAAAAAATTAATCGTGTGAAACAAATATCTGATGGGTAAATCATAATCCTTCTACTTTTAGATTTTTTAGACATGGCTATAGGTTTGAGATAGTCATATTCATGCACATTAGAACAATTACTATAGGTATGTATAAGATAAATAACTCATGTTTATTATAAGTTTTGCATTTATTGCACAGACAAGGTGATAGCAAATTAGTAATAGTTTTCTGTGATCTTTTGAACACTGTGCATCTCTACTGTGGTTTGTTTTGTTTTTTTTTAATTTACATCTTACATGCAGGGGGTTTTTTATGGCAATACAAGCATATTCTAACACTGATACTACTACACCTGGAAGTTGTTATAGCATTGATGCTTTACCTATGTCTTAGCTGTGATTATTGCCTTTGGTATTATTATATTGCTTATGAAGCAGATCGGTTTTACGTCAGATCAGCTCCCAGTAGGGGCAAAAAGAGATTAATTTTTTTTTTCCATGTATTTATACGTAGTCTGAGAGGATTAACTTTCCTGTGTAGGGATGATAGGTACTTTCTTATGGCTCAAGATTCCAGTTCAAAGTAAGGTATTTCAGAATTAAGTGCCTAAGCCTTTTTCTTTCCCTTTTTTTTTTCCCTCTGACCTACATTAGATATATTGTGTTAGAAGGTGGAAAAGGTTTAGATTTTTTTTTTTTTCTTTTTTTTTTTTGTTCCCAAACAGTCAGAGCACTATTTAGAAGCAGATCTTCTCTTGGTATTTTCTTTCTGGTAAAAAAAAAAAAAAGAGAGAGAGAAGAAAAAAAATAGCATGGCTTACATTTTTATTTGCACTTTTCAATTTTCTTCTCTAAGTGGTAGAGGTGCTATACTGGACCTTCTCAGCAACAAGAAGATACTGGTGAGAAATGTGAAACTGAAGGGCAGCTTTGGGTGCAGTGACTGTGAAATGATAAAGTGCAAGATTCTTAGACCAGTGAGAAGGGCAGAAGCTTGCTAACTTGACTTCAGGAAAGCAGACTTCAGCCTCCTCAGGGATTTGCTTGGTAGAGTACCATGAAATAAAGCCCTAGATTCATGAGAGGATCAAGATAGCTGGTTAATATTCAAGGATCACCTCCTCCAACCTCAGAAATGTTGCATTTTGACAAAGAGGAAGTCAAACAAAACTCAAGGACACTTGTCTGGATTATCAAGGAGCTCCTGGACAATGTGAAACACAAAAAGGAAACCTACAGAGGGTGAAAGCTAGGGCAGACTACCCGGGAGGAATACGGACAAGTTGTCCGAGCAGCTACAGATCAGATTGGGAAACCTAGAGCCCTGACAGAAATAAATCTGTCCAGAGTTGTCAAGGGCAACCAGAACAGCTCCTAAAAGAAGCCTAAGGAAAAGGTGGACCCTCTCCAGACGGAAACAGGAGACGTGGGACATGGAGATGGCTGAGGTACTCAGCAATGTTTTTGACTCAGTCTCCACTGGCAAGTGCTTTATCCACACCTTCCAAGCAGGGGAGGCAAAGAAAAGGGCTGAGAAAATCAGTAACTTCCCACCATAGGAGAAGATCAGGTTCAAGACCATCTAAGGAACCTGAAGGTGCACAAATCCATGGAACTCGATGAGATGCACCTGTTGGTCCTGAGAGGCACAGTGCACAAAGTGGCAAAGCCACTATCCATCATATTTGAGAAGCTGTGGTATTCCAATGAAGTTCCAATTGATTGGAAAAGTAAGAACATAACCTGCACTCTTAAAAAGGGAACTACAGACCAGTCAATCTCACCTTGGTACCCGACAAGATTACGAAACAGACTCCTCTGGAGTCTGTGCTAAGGCACATGGAAAATAAAGAGGTAGCTGGTGACAGCCAATATGACTTCATTAAGGGTGAATCATGCCTGACTAATTTGGTGGACTTCCATGATGGGATTAGGGATAAGGGAAGAGCAACTATGTCATCTACCTGGACTCAGGCGAAGCATTTGACACTGTCCTGCACAACAGCCTTGTCTCTAAAATGGGGAGATGTGGATTTGTTTATGGATCACTCAGTGGGTAAGGAATTGAATAGATGGCTGCACTGAAAGATTTGTGGTCAGTGGCTCAGTGTCCACTGTGAAGAGCAGTGATGATTGGCATCCCTCAGGGCTTGGTATGGGGACCGTCCCCATTTGACATATTTGTCAGTGACTTGGGCAGTGGTATGAGTGCACCCTCAGCAGGTTTACCAGTAACACCAAACTGTGTGGTGTGGTCGACACACTGAAGGGAAGGGATGCCATTCAGAGGGATCTGGACAGTCTTGAGAGGTGGGCCTACGTCAACCTCATGAAGTTCAACAAAGTCAAGTGCAAGGTCCTGCATGTGGGTTGGGGCCAAAAAAAAATCCAGACTGGGCAGAGAATGGGTTGAGAACCACCCTGAGGAGAAGGACTTGGTGTTGTTTGATGAGAAGCTCAACATCACCCAGAAAGCCAAGAATACCCTGGGCTGCATAAATACAAGCACAGCCTGCAGGGTGAGGTAGGTGATTCTCCCTCTCTATTCCACTCTTGTGAGACCCCATCTGGAGTACTGTATCCAACTCTGGTGCCCCTAACATAAGAAACACCTGGACGTGTTGGAGTGTGTCCAGAGGAGGACCACAAAGATGATCAGAGGCCTGGAACACCTCCTGTGAAGACAGGCTGAGAGAGTTACAGTTGTTCAGGCTGGAGAAGAAAAGGTTCCAAGGAGACCTCAGAGCAACCTTCAAGCCTAGAGCATGACTATAGGAAACCTGAAGAGGGACTTTTTACAAGGGTATGCAGCGGTAGGACAAGGGGGAATGGCTTTAAAGTGAAAGAAGATGGGACACATCAGGAACAAATTCTTCACCATGAGGGTGGTGAGACACTGGAAAAAGTTGCCAAAAATGTTGTGGATGACTCATCCCTGGAAGTGTCAAGGCCAGGTTGGATGGGGTTTTGAGCAACCTGGTCTAGTGAAATGTGTCCTTGCTGATGGTAGAGCAGCTGGAACTGGAATATCTTTATGGTCCCTTTCAACACAGGCTGTTCTAAGATTTGATGATTCAGTATTTTCAACAGAGTATTTTCTGCTTTGCAGGTGGAAAAAATAGTATGTTCAAAGTTAGTTTTAGTGCTTTGCCAAAGGTCACACAGTACATTTGATGGAAGAAATCTGAACTACCAACCATATTTGTAGTTTCTCAGATGGTGTCTTACTCATTCAGCCATGCTGGTCGTATTTTTTCCAGATATTCTCTATTCTCTTTTCTTTACTATCTTCTGCATTTTGAATGGTTAGCTGCAGAGTTATGAACCATTTTTCTTATTTTCATCCTCCTTCAAAAGACGAAATCTTTATTTGATTGAATTCCCTAAAATTTTAAAAGTATTTATTTTCATGCTTAAAACACATATTAAACAATTTAAAATTATTTTTTATGACTTTAAAACCATTGATATTGCAATGCATAAACCATTTGAGGTAAGTGGAAACTTTTACTGAAGATGTAAAATAACTGTGTCTTTCTCTTTACTCAGCAATATCTTGTGGAATTCCTAAAGCTCCATTAAATGGTGGGATATTAACTACAGATTACTTAGTTGGCACCCGTGTTACTTATTTTTGCAATGATGGATATAGGCTATCAGCCAAAGAGCTTACTACTGCAGTCTGCCAGCCGGATGGGACCTGGAGCAATCACAATAAAACACCTCGATGTGTTGGTAAGTAACATGTAAAAAGTCTCCAGTAAGAACTTGTGTGTACATTTTGTTTATTTATCCAGGCCATAAATCTTCACATTACTTAAACTTTCATCTTCAGGTTAGTTTAATCTATGAATTATTGATGGTATGAAATCGCTATGAAATGCATATTTGCAATGTATGTAACTAAGACATGCTGTGACAGCAGAAGAAATATACTAGAGCTTATAGAATACAATCAAACTAATAATTAATTTATAGCTAAATCAAAGTTAATGGTTGCAGAGGTTTATGCAAAAACCATCTCTTCAGTGAGAGTTGCAAAATTCATGTACTGCTAACAAACTCTATTTACTATCCAGAATTGCAAAACCTCTGGGATACTTGTTGTAAACTGCTGCTTATTATTTATATTCAGCCGATCATTATAGTCCTAAGCCATCTGAACTTGGGGGAACATCACTGCAGAGAAAATGCATGTTTACTACCAAAGAGAAGTGGATACCAACAATTATAAATGGGGCATGAAAACCCAGGTGATTGTAAGACTGATACAGAAATGTCAGAGTACCTGATGCACATTAGGATTTGAATTATCTCATCCAATGAATTTTGGAAATCAAAGAAAACATACCCTAAAGTAATTTTCAAGGATGTTCTCTTTCTCCTTTTTTATTTTCTTGTTCTTTTAAATTGCATTCAATCATGCATTTTCCTCTTTCTAAAGGACCAATCCAAATGGAGAAAAATAAAGTAGGAAATATTGTTATGCATGTTAAACTTTTTTTAATTATCTTGTAGTTATACAATATTTTTGTTCCATTTCTGGAGGAAGAACACATAGAATTAAGACATGAGATTAAAAACGTATAACTACTGAAAAAAACACTTCAACATGGATATTATTTTATTTGTCACCAGTGTGCAACCTCTCGAATTTTATGGAGTTTGCCTGGGTAGAAAAATACTTACTGCATTTAAATATAGCTAACACTTTACTAAAGATTCTGGTGCCTGATGTAAAGTGTCACAGGAGGTCCATCTACAGTGAATTCAACCATGCTATAGCTTCTATCTACACTGATTGCATCACTCTGAATACACAATCCCTACTCTGACTAGATCATTATTAATTACACGAGAGAACTCACACCTGCTAACAAAAGGCAATTTCAAATACAGTATTAGTCTTCAAAGATTATGTCACTGTATTTAATAAATATTTTTGAATTAATAACAGTACAGATTTTCCCAATTTGCCTGTACTAAGCCACAAATAACTATGTGGGTTTTTTTTATTTTGGCAGTTGTTACATGTCCAAGCATCAATTCTTTTACACTGGAACATGGAAGATGGAGAATAGTGAATGGTTCACATTATGAGTATAAAACAAAAGTAGTTTTCAGCTGTGATCCAGGGTATTATGGTTTGGGACCAGCATCTATCGAGTGTCTTGCTAATGGCACCTGGAGTTGGAGAAATGAGAGACCTTACTGCCAAAGTGAGTCCATGTTGCATCTTCATCTGCTGTACAGACATCAGAAGAAAATATTTTATTGGGTGAATTAGAAAATAGCTAATTAAATATTTAAAAGAGTTAATTAGAAAAAGTGTTTCTTGATTGGAATTCCTGGGTATCCAAAAGACTATTATTGACAAATATAATACATTAGGTTTAGTGACAAGGACATATCTGTAAGCACACTTCTGGATTTTAAAGGTCCCTATATTTATAAATGTAAAAGGAAGTAGTAGAGAACATTTTCCTATATATTTTTTTCGGTCAGGAATGCTGTATGGTCTAGAAAAATGCAAAACCTTTGTATATTGTCTGCATACTTGATAAATAAAATAATCTCTCCTTTCAACTAGTTGTCATGTAATGTGCATTTACACACATCCAGATCATTCCTACCATTAACTGGTGTGCTGATAACCTGCAGTAGTTAATTTTCAAAAAATAAGTAATGAATATTAAGATATTTAAAACAATTAAATGTGTTTCCCGCACCCACCCCTGTGAAAAGCAAGTTTCTTCATACATTTGAATTTAGACACCTCTTTTTCAAAACTGTAGGGTTTTGGTTACTCTTTGAAATCCCAGAACTCTTTCTCTTTATGGAACACCTTGTGATGTGGGACATGATTGAGCTTTCGGTGCATGTATCGAAAACGTATCTGCACATTCGTGTAAAAATCCAAACATACCTAAGAAGTTTGCAAATGAGTCAGATAACTGTGGCTTTAGAATTTATTGACAATAAACACAAAACTAATTAAAAAAAAAGAAGCTAAAAAATGCAGTTTCAAAACCAGGTATTATTACATTGGAAATTAACCTTAATTTTAATTTCTTTATAAGTGGAAATATAATTTATAATTTAGAGTATTTTTAAAAGTTAATTGCAATATTTCACCTCTGCTAGTATTAAAAATACTGTGTATATGTCTGTATCTATATCTATCTGTGTATATAGATATTTTACATATAAAATTTGTATTTTTAACCCTTTTGTCTTTAAAAGACAAACTATTTTTCACTGTTTTGAGAAGTCTTGTTTGAAATATTACCACTTTTTTTCAAGCATAAAGTGCACTAGCTGCTTTCACCCTCTTATTTAGTAATAGTAAAGGTATTTTTATTATTAAAAGAAAATCGATAAAGAAAAAATATTATTTTGAATGAAAAGATGCTTTGAATTGTAAATAAATAGGAAGGAATTCCATGAATATAATTCACTCCTTTTAAAAATGATATGTGTGAATACTGAGGTAAGCATGTCATTCTGACCTAGAAGAACAAAGCAACATCTGCCCAGAGAAACATAATTTTACAACTGACAACAATTGTGGTATTCCAATATGCAAGAAAAGTACTTGATAAAACCAAAATGAAACTTAATTTATTAATGTTCCAAATGGCTTTTTTAGGTTTACAGTAACAATTTTAATTGGTTTTCCCCCCTCTCTTTCTTAAGTATTATTTCTAGGGAAGTAACAGTTTTTATTTGCAGTTTTTAATCTATTTTTTTCTACAGAACAAAATACTTCAAGGTGTGAAATCTGGTTGACTGGTTGATAAGTATTACTGGTAGATAAGTATTATTTTATGTGTGTTTGTGATACTTAACTGTACATTTCTGTTTTGTTTTGGTTTTGTTGTGAAGTTATTTCTTGTGGAGAACTTCCTACACCTCCCAATGGAAATAAGATTGGAACTCAAATCACCTATGGATCTACAGCTATATTTACCTGTGACTCAGGATACATGTTAGTAGGCTCTGCAGTGAGGGAATGTCTGTCATCTGGACTCTGGAGAGGAATTGAGACGAGATGTTTAGGTACAGATACTGTCATGACTTGACTATTTTCTTTCTCTCTAGCAGACAAAAGTAAGCAAAGACAAACATCTTGTCTCTGTAAGCAGAGACATTGAAGAGGGGTCTGCATGTGTGTGGCTGGGTGGGTTGTTTTTCTTACCAAAGTATAAGAAATTATCAAATTATATAATTACCTTTTCAGAAATTTTAATATCTTTCTAACATGCAAAACCTGTGTTACTGTATTTATGTATATGTCTTCAAATTAGAACTATACATAAAAAACAAGACAGACTGATTCTGTATGTGTCAACATTAATATATATCCTCAGTAAAATACCTACATGATAGCCTGAACTCAGTGGTAGTGTTATGGAATTAAACTGTGCTCTTGAAAAGATACAGGAGGAGACAAAAAAAAGTTTTTGCAAACTTTGACAGGACCACTGCACCCATGTTTCTAAGAGAAAGTCACTATCCGGCCACTATTTATGCAATTTGACACCCTTTACTTGTACATGTTTAGGTATCTTCACTCATTTAAAATACTCAGACATCACTCCCTGAATTATTTATGAATGAGATGAACACATGAAAAAATTCCAAGGTTTCTTTCTGATTCATGATCTTGTGTACCTTGAACTGGGTTGTTGTCTTTATTGTAGAGACATTGGTTTTAACTCTATATGCAATCAAAATTTTAATTTCAGTTGAAATCAAAGCTGTGATAGTATTCTGATTTAGAATGAAATACGTAGGTCATATTGTATTTTGTCAGTTGTGGAGGCATGAGTGTATTACAGAATATCCATAAACAGAGACTTTCAGAAAATCTGAACTAGTATATATGTTAAATATAGGGGTTTGTTGCAATACCTCTCTGTGCAGATTGCCATTCACCTTTTTAAAATACTCTCCATCCAAAATAATTTTCCTTCTCCAGTACAGGTTATTTGGTGCAAATCTGCACTAAAGTGAATGACTCATGAATGAGTAAAGGTTTTGCTTATCAAACTACAAGTCTGAAGCTGGAATGTTCCCTGACATACAGCTGAGAGGGGCAGAGTCCTTGTTTATTTTTCACATTTACAGTGGAAGCCAGTCAGAAGAGGAGGGGGAAAAAAGAAAAGATCTTTATGTTTGATAATTTTTTTTCTTCTAAATTATCGACAGTTATAAGACAGATTGTTTTAAATCTAAAAGTTTTAAGGCCCCATAGTATGTATGTAATCAAAATGTTCTGCTTTTGTTGTTATTTGTTGGTTGGGTTTTTTTTGTTTGTTTGTTTTTTCATTTTTACTGATTTTTCTGCAAAAGTTACAGCTATTGGAGTTTGGAGAAATGTAAATATATTAATCAGAGAAATATTAATCTAAAAACAGGCAAATTGCCTTCTATTTGTGAATAGCATCTTGAAAAAATACTTGCATTTAAGAATTTTACCAAAATAACTTCATACCAGGTGAAGATCATCTCAGAGTGAATTGAATTTCTCTTACATTTGCCTGTAGAAATAAAAATGTAATACAATCTTAATAGTACTAACAGGTTGCATAGTCTTTACTTGCAACTTAAAGAAGACCCCTGCTTCTCAGAAAATATTAGTTATTATTAAGTTCATATACTGTAATGTCCAGGAACAAGAAATAGTTAAGAAAACAACTATATGAATGGAGGGGAAAACAGTAATCTAAAAGACACCTTTTGTATCAGACATAGGAGCACAGTACATCTTTAAATGTATATCTTCAAAGCTTTATTGATGGCAAATTCTTGAAGATAGCATGAATACATGTTTTACTGAGAGAAATAGAATGTAATATACTTCATACATATAGCAAGCAAAAAGCATGTATACCTTGGCAAAAAGAAGAAAAAAAAAAGAAAACTAGTGACAGAACAAATTAATAAAAGGGAGCAATGACTACCCTAATTGCTTTTGCAACGACACTGGCTTCTATGTTATATCCCTGCGCAGAAATCAACTTCTTGCAAAGACTCAGACTAACTCAGTTCAATTCTTCTTTCTTCCACAAGTAATTTAAGACTTAAGATAGAAGGATGAGTTGAGCTAATGACAAATCAGAAGTCAGAAATGTTTTTAAGAAGGAAAAGAAAGAAAATGCTGTTGAAAGGTTGAGGAATGGTGGACATTAAAGAAATATTAGAATGTGAGAGAAAAGGAGATAAAATACAGGAGGAAGATCTACAGAGTGGGTATTTTAATGGTTCAAGAAATTAATTTTTGTGCAACTTATCACTAAATTCTGGTGTTTGTTTTCAATAACTGAAAAATAGTAAGAAAAAATTTATTTTCACTTTCTACTTCTAAAGTTTTTGTGCTCACAACTGTAAATATTTTCTATCCTTTATCACTTTTACTTGCTGAGAACTGTATTTATGCTTGGACTGAGATGACTACCAATGTATTTCTGTTTCAAGTTTTGAAGATGCCCTGCAAAATCGCTTAGATGACATTAATGAAATCCTATAGGATAACAATACTCTTTTCCAACTATTTTGTTTAAAAATGCGAGTTATTTTTTCCAAAAGTGTTACTCAAATGATTTAATTTCATTGCTGTGTTAGAAAACTTGATTTTCATTCCAATTATGTGTAATTTGAAAAATTATGAAAGGTAAAATAAACAGGAGTCTAAGTGTCTGCAACAGAACTTAAAACTAGTTTATGTTGAACCTATCAGATAGAAATGAGAACTAAAACAGAGGTAAGCTTTATTTCATTGATCTTTTTTGTCTTTTTTTTTTTCATTCTGGTTTCTTTTTTTAAAAAAGAAGGATAATACTTTATGGATATTGAAACTGTTGCAAAATTTCGAACATTTAACACAACTACCCTCCTTTCTGAATATCGCTTTATTTTTTCTTAAAGAATACATAAATAACAATGTAGTACTCCACATAATAATCTCAGTTTTGATACAGTGTGGTAGGAAATTGAGTTCTGAATCTTGTTCTCCATAGCTGATGAGAAGAAAAAATGTTCAAATTGAAAAAAAATTAACAAAAGAAAAGAGAGCTTCTGAAGTAATTCTGTTGTCAAAATTTTCAAAACAAATATTTCAAAATATTTTATCGTGAAAAAATATGAGAAAAAAAATCATTTTAGTCTTTTAGAATAAAATAACAGCAAAGATAAAAATCAGGACTGTTGTATCTTCAAGGTTACAGACTGCCCCTCACAATTTATTGTACTTGATCTTTTTCTATACTGAAAACCTGGAAACAGTTTCTGGGGGAAAGTCTATGTAATAAATCCTGGTGAAACATTCAGAAACATAGAACAGATTTTTGCTGAATATACTACTTATAAAAAGAGAGTGAAAAATCTGTGATTTTGTTATACACTTTCATCTTGGAAAAATATTTAAATATGTTTCCTGTATTATTTCAGTTAACATTTCAGAAAGCCTAGTCCAAAACACTCAACAAAGTAAAACTTACAAAGAAAAGTATAGCATGCTTTGAAAAGTCTTTCTGTTGGATACAATTCTTCTTATATATAATGGAGCACCTGTTTTCTTAGATTATTCCAAATCATTCAGATTTCATACTTCTCTTCTGGAGGTATGTAATTTAATTGAGTTTCTCTCAGTTATGTGACTGATAGCAATTTTAAAAGATGTTTAGACATCTCATCAATGAAAGCCATGTGAAAAAACAGGGAAAATTATTATTTTTAAGCAATAGTTAAACTCATAAGAGGGAAGGTATCTTATGCACACTTTTCTTTTTTGTTGATTGGTTTGCTTACTCCATGTTCTCGCATTTCTTGAAGTTGTGACTCTACCCTCTTCATCTCAGGTATATTACACTTAAAACTTTTTACCTAATTCCTTCTTTCTCCATTCCTCATGACATATTGATAAAACAAGATTGTTTTATATTGTCTCCTTTATTTACCAAAAGTTATTGCTGTTATTTCCTACAGGGAAAGACTCAGCAACTGCTGGAACAATAGTTTTGTTCAGTTCTGCAAATTAGTATTAAATCTAAAATCAATATAAACCATGAAATATAACTACATTATTTTAGTTATTGTAGTTATTTTAGTTCACTTGGAGAACTAAAGACGCCTTTATAAAATACTGTGTCCATATGAATAAAAAATGCAGAAATGAAGAATGGAGTTTATTTGATGAATAAGGTATAAAGAAGTGTGGTTCCAACACTGGGCTAATACTGAAAATATTGAAAATTGAGTTTTCAATACAGACAGATGGGTAGCAGAAAAAAAGCTATTTGGGTTAGAGGGTACATTAAATGTCAGCATTTGTACTTCCTATATAATAATATCAGGAAAACCTTTCATCTGTTCTCCTAAGAGAAATATTAAATCTGTACCTTTGTCTGCATTAACACATAATCCAGCAGAAAGAATAGATCACAAGACAAGTAATTGATTCTGAATTTTTTATATCTGTATTACATATGTTTCAGATAATTTTCCTTGGACTGCATCTGGTCTTGTCCTCTGGGCTAAATGTCATCATTACTCATATGATTCTGACTTGTCAAAAAGACCTGTTAATAATGTTGACCACTTTGTCTCCAAAAGGAGATGGAACACTTGTTTTGTGCTCCTAGAGACTTCTCAATGTACTTCCTCTGAAAGGAAGCAAATTTGTTCATAGTAAAACCACTCAGCACATTTAAGAGTTAGAAGGAAGAGATGAACCAAAATGCTAATGTGTACACAACCTTTGACTTGTTAGCTGGGAAATATTTATCCCAGTTTTACTGAACTTTTCGTTTTTTCATACAAAAATGCCAGTTTTAAACACTAATGAGTCATTAGTGGCAGCTTGTTACTCATAAAGGAAAGACTAGTTATCAAACAGCTCTGTACAGAGCAGTGCTGTCAACAGGGTCAAAAGAATAGCAGACTTACTGTCTGGGGCAAAGAAACCATGTAAGCTGACAGCGAAAAATATTCAGTGTATTAATTTACCAGTACTAGTTTTTATATTTTCCCAATCAGCTTTCAGTCGCTGAAAGGTT